GGAATTGAGAAGATTCGGGCAAACGTATGGTTATGGCATAGGAGATTGGGGCATATTTCTTTTGGTTATCTCAAAAAACTTAGATCGTCTTTATTTTCTGATTTGGATGTTTCGGATTTTAAATGTGATGTCTGTGAATTGGCCAAAAGCCATCGAATTCCTTATTTACCAAGTATGAATAAAAGTTCAGAACCATTTTTTGTTATACATTCCGATATTTGGGGACCTGCAACGGTTCCATCCATTTCAAAAGCTCGCTATTTCGTTACTTTCATAGATGAATGCACAAGATTCACTTGGGTATCCTTACTCCATCATAAAAGTGATCTGTTTACAGCATTTAAGGAATTTTATAGCATGGTGAAGACCCAATATCAACGGCAAATTCGAATTTGGCAGTCTGACAATGCCATGGAATTCGTTAGTACTTCATTAAAGAGTATCTTAGCCAACTAGGGATAAGACATCATACTTCTTGCACGTATACACCGCAACAAAATGGTCTAGCGGAGAGGAAAAATAGGCAGATTATGGAGGTTGTACGTGCATCTCTTTTTGGGATGAATGTGCCACGTTTTTATTGGGCGGAGGCGGTAAAATCTGATGTCTACCTAATTAATCGCGTTCCTTCTCGAGTTATTGGCTTCCAAACTCCCCAACAACAGCTAAATTCCTTTTGCTCTATTTCGCATGTACCAAATCTTGAACCTAGAGTTTTTGGGTGTACAACATATGTTCATATCCCTAAATTCTTACGAAGTAAATTGGACCCTTGTGCAAAACGATGTATCTTTGTCGGCTACTCAGATTTTCAGAAGGGATTTAGATGTTATGACCCAGTGAATAAGAAATTGCATGTCACTTTAGATGTCTCTTTCCGTGAGAGTGAACCATACTACACCGGGGGTGTTTCGGGCTCATCTCTTCAGGGGGAGAAACCGAATGAAGATTCTGAGCTTAATGGATTAAATAGTGGAGGAAAAAATTGTGAAGCAGAGTACTTGGAGCTGGAGGCAATAGAAGAAAGATTGAGTACACATAATCTATCCCATGATCACCCTACTGATGAAGCTCCAGATTTGCCTCATTTGTTGGAGAACGAGGATGATTTACCACCAGAAAGTGATAAATCATTGTCCGAAGAAGACGTATTAACACCATTAACTGAAGAGTCTTCCCAGAATGTCCAAACTAGTGCTACACCTGAGGTAACTATCGATTCCCTTTTTAATAAGAATTGTTCTCCTGCTCGTTTTCTACCAAGATTAAACAGGGGTATTCCAAAGAAACAATATGAACCTGACCTCAAAGCAAATGCCAAATACCCTATTAATAATTATATCTCTACTCATCGACTATCGGATTCATATGCTCTGATTGTTGATCAATTATCCAAAGTATATATTCCTAATAGTGTGCAGAAAGCGTTAACAGATGCAAGGTGGATTAAGGCAATGAATGAAGAGATGGAGGCTCTGAAAAAGAATGCGACTTGGGAATTAGTTCCGCTGCCCGGGGGAAAGAAAACGGTCGGATGTAAGTGGGTGTACACCGTGAAACTTAAAGCTGATGGAAGCATTGATAGGTATAAAGCACGATTGGTAGCAAAGGGTTACACACAAAAGTACGGTATTGATTATCGTGAGACATTTGCACCAGTAGCTAAGCTCAATACTGTTCGCATTCTCATCTCCATTGCAGCAAATCGCGATTGGCCTTTACGACAATTCGACGTGAAAAATGCCTTTCTAAATGGTGATCTAGAAGAAGAAGTGTACATGGATCTTCCACCAGGTGTTAAGCTTAAATCTGCACGATCAAATAGCGTATGCAAATTGAAAAGGTCATTGTATGGACTTAAACAATCACCTAGAGCTTGGTTCGGGAGATTTACATCAGCAATGAAGTTGGTTGGTTACAAACAGAGTAACTCTGACCACACTTTATTTATTAAACGCAAAGGAGAAAAGATAACGGCATTGATTGTGTATGTAGATGATATGGTCTTGACCGGCAATGATCATGAAGAAATGAATGAGCTACAGAAATATTTATCTACGAAGTTCGAGATGAAAGATCTTGGACAAATGCGATATTTCTTAGGTATTGAAGTGTCACGATCAAGACATGGAATCTCTCTTTCCCAACGAAAGTATGTTTTGGACTTATTGGCTGAAACTGGAATGCTAACATGTAAGCCCGTTGAAACACCGATGGAAACAAATCATCAACTTGGAATTTCTTCTAGTCAAAGCCTGGTAGATGTAGGTCGTTATCAACGACTAGTGGGAAAGTTGATCTATCTAACTCATACGAGACCAGATATTGCCTATGCCGTGAGTGTTGTAAGCCAATTTATGCAAGCTCCAAGTGAAGAACATATGATTGCAGTGCATAGAATATTGAGGTACTTGAAAGGCTCTCCAGGAAAAGGACTACTCTACTCAAAGAATGAAAATTCCACCATTGAAGGCTACACCGATGCCGATTGGGCAGGTGATTTATCAACCAGAAGATCTACTTCCGGTTATCTCACATTCGTAGAAGGAAATCTTGTGACTTGGAGGAGCAAGAAACAAAAGGTTATTGCTCGCTCGAGTGCGGAAGCGGAATTTCGGGGAATGGCGCATGGTTTATGTGAGCTGCTATGGATTAAAAGAATTCTGAGAGATCTCGGAATTAAGTGTTCAAGTCCCATGAGTTTATTTTGTGATAACAAAGCTGCGATTCAAATTGCCCAAAATCCGGTACAACATGACCGCACGAAACATGTTGAAATCGATCGTCTTTTTATTAGAGAAAAGCTCGACCAAAAGATTATTCAGTTTCCATTCGTCAAGTCGGAGAGCCAACTTGCAGATATCCTCACGAAGGCTGTCTCGGGAAGGATATTTCATGAAGTGATCAGCAAGTTAAGCATGATAGACATCTATGCATCAACTTAAGGGGGAGTGTTAGCATGAGGGATTCGATCAAATCCCGAGACTGTTGCAATTAATCTTTATTCTAGGAATCAGTAATTATGGAGAATAATCTGTTTCCTTGTACATTTATATTTCTTAGAATAGAATAGATTTACGTGTATATATCTTCCTCTGTATGAGAAGAATAAAAATATATCGAAATGTTTTCCCCAAAACATCCGTTCTACAGACTGAATAATAATTCCTTATTAAATATGGAAGCGAATTAATTACAGTAACTATTATATATACACCTGCATGCAATCCGTTGCCAACACAAACTATCCAAGGTTTTTACCTTTCTTTTTTTCTTCTTCTACTTCTCTTAAAGGAGTTCAGATAATTGAATAAGGTGGGTTATAATCTCTATATAATCTTTGTTACTTATATTTGGTTTTCTTTGGATTATTCTCTTCCGATTCCTTTGGTCGTTTATTGAATGTAAGTTGCTATTCCGTTCAATTCTTGTGATAATTTGAATTTCTTTTGTTCATGAGTTCGAATTTGGTGCCGTGTATATAAATTTTTTTTTTTACAATTTTCCACTCGAGGAATGAAATTAAGATTAATATTAATACTAATACTAATACGTGTCTTATACGGTCTCTGTACGTATTCTATAATATGTGTCTCGATCTCTATGTGTTTCTGCTTTGATTTTTTTATTTATTTAATTATGCTTTTTTAGTATTGGTGGATTAATGATATATTTGTATAATTCTAAGTGTGACGAATATATTTTTTGTAGAAAAAAAAAATATTATGGAGATGGAGAAAAATATTATGGAGATGGAGATGGAGATCGAGATGGAAAATTCTGAGAGCTCCCCTGAATACATATACTCGGTAACAGAAGAATATCTCAAAGAAATCGAACAAGCATTGGACTACGCGTGGAATAATTTCGATACTTATATTGACCCTCTTGACATTGAAGCCATAATAAATGATCCGGAACTGAGCAACCCACCACCGGAGATGGTGTTGCCGTCACCGCCACCGCCGCCCCCATTGTTTTCACCACGTCAATAATCATCCCAAATAATAATAATGATAATAATAATAATAATGATAACAATAATGCCGTCTACAAAAGATTTGAAGAGCTGGATTTGCAGCACCGGGAACTGATGGAAAGGGCGAATCAGGTTGAAAAGGCGGTTGACTATCTGATGATCTACTATTACCTGAGGAAGAATGAGACCCTCCCGCCGTATCGCGACGAGCTTAATTCTACAGTGGAATGGTTTACCGACAGAATGAACACTCTCCAGAAATCTTACAGAGCAAAACTATTGTTGGATTCTGACACCGACACTGACACTGCTTCTCACTCATGTCTTGATCTCATGATCCTCAAGTTTCGACACATGAAGCTGATGACGTCAGCTTCGGACATAAATTGTTAATGCCTCTTTTTTTCTTTTTTCTTGTTAAATTGGACTAGCATTCTCTTGTTTTTGGTTGAATTTGTTTCCATTTATTATCGTTGGTGATTCTTCATATATCTATTTTCAGATCTATTATTGTTTCCATTTAAATTGGACATTAAATTCTTCATACTATTTGTTTCCATTTATGGCATTATCTGATTTTTTTTCTTTGTTACTACTCAAATATTATTTAGGGCTCGTTTGGTTACTGTTATTACCCCCTACTAGATTAAATAGTAAGGGCCAATAGCATGTTCGGTTGACAAGATTCGCACCAAGGGAAGCTCGTTTGGATTAGCTTGATATTGGTCTAGTATTATCTTGTTTTCGTTGAATTTGTTTCCATTTATTATTCTTGATTCTTCTATTTTACGTGTTTATTCTATACTACATTGGGTGAAAGACACCCGTTAGACACAACATATGCTCGTTTGCAATTTCTAAAAAGTTAGAAACATGTTTCAATATCAAATTTTTAAATATTCTTATTACTTCCCTTATTGTTTTCATGATTTAGTAATCAATTTAATTGATAGTTGATAGTAAAATTTATTTTCATTATTTTTTTATGAAAATATAGAAAAAATATATATATATAAAGAAAAGTTATACATATATTTATATATCATATTTATAAATAAACCCTCGTACTATTAATATTTACACACATTTCTCTCAAGTTCGGTAATACATTACTGATTACTCTGTAGAAGCAAGTCTCTCTCTCTCTCTCTTGTTTCTCTCTCTAAATTCAAACTGCTTCACAAAGAAAGAAATGTTGAGAAGGGCGCTGCTCCAAGCTTCCACACGCGGTCTCTTCTCGTCTTCTCCACTGTCTCTCGCATCTCTGCGGCAATGCTCTTCGTCTTCTTCCTCACACAATTCTCAAATTTCAAACGATCATTTCGTCGAACACTTGGACGACACACCTCAACCACCAGCCACCGCCACCATCTCCATCGATCGCTCCTCCTTGTACCACCCTCCCGGTAAATAAATCACTCAATTCTTCTATTCTTTCCTCATCCCCCCATTTCCCCCCCTTAATTAGGAGTTAAATTAGGCTTAATTATGGCTTATGAACAGAGCATTCCCACGAACCGTCTGCTGATTCTGAGCTCGTTAAGCACCTCAAGAACATCATCAAGGTACTCTCCATGTAATTTTTTTTTCGTGATCTTTTATTGTGATCGATTTGATTTACATTGGGTTGTTTTTTTGGTTGGTCTAATGGGATTTTTTATTTTTGAATTTTTTTTTGTTGTTATTAGTTCAGAGGGGGGCCAATTACAGTTGCTGAGTATATGGAAGAGGTGTTAACGAATCCGAAAGATGGGTTTTACATGAATCGGGATGTATTTGGAGCCGGGGGCGACTTTATTACCTCCCCAGAAGTGAGCCAGATGTTTGGAGAGGTAAATTATGTGTTTCACTGAAATCGAGTTCGACCTTTCCATTTGCCGTTTAAAGCGTCAATGAAATGGTCATCAATAATTAATATCATTTGGCTATACGTTTGTCGATTAATATACGTTTCTTGCTTTTAGATGGTTGGCGTTTGGGCAATGTGCCTTTGGGAGCAAATGGGACAACCAAAAGGAGTTAACTTAGTCGAACTCGGACCAGGCAGAGGAACTCTTTTGGCCGATCTTTTGCGCGTACGGCTTCTGCACTTACTTTATATATATGTTAATGATCTTGTGACTGGACATGTATTTACGTCGCTTGTAAGTATCGGTACTTGAAAACTGTTCGATTGCTGTTGTGTAGGGTGCGTCGAAAATCAAGAACTTCACAGAGTCATTGGAAATACATATGGTTGAAGTTAGCCCGGCATTGCAGAAACTCCAGTATCAAAACTTGAAGTGCGTGACTGAAGACGGTGGCGATGAAAATGAAGAGAAAAGGTGTATTAGCACATTAGCTGGGAAGTGATGTGTCCTTTGATACCAAGGAAGGAGCTTTTCTCAAGTACAACTTTGGTGCTAGCTTCACAAATGCTGATCTTATAGCTGCGGTGACTCTGTAAGTTGGTGTCAATTGCTTGTTCTTGTTTGTTTATCCTAAATTTATTGAAATTATAATCTGGGCAACTGATAAAACATGCACTCAGTTGCCTTCGTTTACATTTCCAAATTCTTTTCCATCATCTATAATACGATTTCCCGTAAAACATAAACAAAAATTACTATCATGCTCAAAATCTTTTCTCACAAAACCATTCTCCCAAAATGAAATATGTTCGTTTGCATTTCAAAACCCCTTTTCTCGTTTACCACCATTTCAAAATTCTCTTGATTTTACCATTTCCCGAACATGTAAAAAAACATTACTCCCATTCTCAAAATCTTTTCCCAAAAAGAAATATGTTTCGTTTACGTTTCAAAATCCCTTTTATCATTCGAGAACTGCATAAATCGGTGTTTTGTTTACCATTCAAGAGCCTCTCAACTTTACTTATACCCTCAACATATAATAAACAAACATTACCCCCATTCTTCAATTTTTTTTCCCAAAACACTATTCTCCCAAAATGGAATCAAACATAAAGTCTGTGGTTTACGTATGCCCGATAAAATTCTGAATCTGCCATTTTCTTGGTGTAGGAACAACAAGTTTGATTTGGTGAGTGCATCATACTACCACACAGTGAGCCCATTGACCAACACTGCAGTGGGTGGAGAGTTTACCCACAGCTTCTCGAGCAGCGAGAACACCATCACAGTTGGCACTCAGCATTCACTGGACCCACTCACCAACGTGAAAGCACGTGTGAACAATGCTGGCAAGGTTAGTGCTCTGATCCAGCACGAGTGGCGCCCAAAGTCTCTCATCACCGTTTCTACTGAAGTCGATGCCAAAGCTTTCGACAAGAGTGCCAAATTTGGCTTGGCTTTGGCCCTCAAGCCTTAAACGATTCTTCCTTTTTTTGGGGTTTGAATGAGAATTGAACTTGTCGTGTTGGGTGCTTGTAGAAAGACAATTAGGCTGTTGGTTGATTTCCTAATTCCATTTGACTATATAACGACTTTTCTTTCTCGTTTAACAGCTGAACACTTTTTGAGCCTGAAATTTTCTTAAATCGAATCAGGGCAGCTATTATTATTAATATTTTTTTTTTTAAAGTTGTCTTCGGTTCTGGTTCGGCAGGTACCAGACTTTGTCATATCGTAAAACAATGTTTGATATGACTGAGAATAAGTGAATTTCCGGGGATGTTGTGCCCTTGGAGTTGTTAAAATTTTGTATTTGCATTTTACTTGCGCAGTTTATTTCTAAGGCAAGATGTGTGAAATTGTTTGCTGTTATTAGTTTTGGGCAAACAATTTCATATGTGATACTGTGCCCATTTTATTTGCATTTCATCGGGTGTGGCATCGACGTAAAATACCAATTTTCTAGATATAAAAAGTAAAAACAGAGCAATTTTCATATAATGGTATGTATCACTTGTGCCTAATTATTTTATAACTGTACTCATTTGAAGGTTTTGAGCTTAGCTTTGTTCTTGAGCAGTTGTGCCTCTTTGATAATCTTTTTTTTTTTGTTTTGAGTAATTCTTTGATAATCTTTGAGATGAGAAATAACTCAGGTTGTGAACGCGCCGAACTCGAGCCGAGTTTGCTTATTTTGGGAGGCTCGAGCTTGAATTCTTTATTGGATTCTAAAGTATAAAAGAAAAAATAAAAAAAAATCTTCAAAGCTACAAAAAAATTGACACAAAGAAGTGTTCCGGTGTACGAAATTTCAGATTAAAAAACCATTCAATCCTCTCGTCTCTCTCTAAGTTCAGAAGGGCGTTCTCCAAGCTTCCACACGCGGTCTCTTCGCATCTTCCTTCGATATTATGTTGTTTTTATTTTTATTTTTATTTTTTTGAACTAAAATTTAGTAATTATTAGTTTTACTTTCATGGACGTGGATGTTCGCATTTTTCAAAAATTATGAACATTTTAGAAGATTTAGATTAAATTTTGAAATTTTAAAGCTTACTTGATTTCCAAATTTTTTTCGAAATTCCGAAATTTCCAGGACTTTTGGAATTGGAATTGAAATTTATTTTATACTTCCGAAATTTTTTGGAAATTTTCCGAGAAGACTAATTTCAATCTGATCCATCCGACTTTCATCCCTACGCCTAATCAACCGCCGTAAACTTGTTTAATCTAAACCTTAACCTTTCAACTTCTTCCTTTTTTAATGAGACCTTTTGCCTGAATTACATATCTCCCATTTTTCTCCTAATTCTGGGCTCTTCCTTCAATGAAATCCCTTTTTTTTTTTTTTTCCTCAAATTGTAAAAAAGTTGGTTTTACGGACATTATTTCCATAGAAACCCAAACTTTTTATTTTTTATTTCACCATAATTTATTTTTAACCTGATCAGGCAGTTGAACCGGGTCCGAAAATGAAACTAACTACTAAGCCCGGCCATAATCTCCCGCCCTCTATAAAACGAAAAATTGTTGAAAATAGTTCGTTCGATATCAGACCACATTCTCTGTCTGTTTCTGCTTAGGATTCTTCTTATGAAATTATTGAAAAATTGTTGAAAATAGTTCCTTCATGCGCTCTGAAAAGAAACGTGAGATCTTGTTCGATTTGAACTTGCCTCCCGGATGAAGAAACTATTGGTAGTTAATTGGGCTAAAACATGAATTCACTTAGTTTTGTGAATAGACTTCTATGTTTGGATACTATATCTAGTTGGAAAGCAGACCAAAACTTACGGAAGTTCTTACGTGTGACTCCACTTGTAATGAAATTTGCCAACTGGGTCAAAAGAAAATTTATTGTCGCATGAATTTTATATTGAAACTTTGATTTTCTTTGAGGATTCATACTATATCGAGTTTTGGGCATTGTTAGTTGTAAAGTTGCTATTTTTCTTTATACTTTTGCATTCACTTTTATTTTTACTACATTTAAAAAAAATCCGTAATTTCAGTATATTATTCATTGAAAGATATATATTATCCCTCTAAATAGTATTTTTATTTAAAAGATATATATTTTTCAACAGAAATACATAATACGAAATATATTTGAAAATACTTTTATATGATGATAAAATAAATTTGCAAAAAAAAGAAAGATCGTTTCCTTATTTAAACAAATAAAAAAGGAATATAATTAAATAATGCCATGGACTGAATAATAATTCCTTATCTTATTAAATATGGAAGCGAATTAATTACAGTAACTATTATATTAACACTTGCATGCAATCCGTTGCCAACACAAACTATCCAAGGTTTTTACGTTTCAACTTTTTTTTTCTTCCTCTCCTGAAGGAGTTCAGATACTTGAATAAGGTGAGTTATAATCTCTAATATGATCTTTGTTACTTATATTTGGTTTTCTTTGGATTATTCTCTTCTGATTCCTTTGGTCGTTTCGAATGTAAATTGCGATTCTGTTCAATTCTTGTGTTATAATATGGATTTCGTTTGTTCAATCGTTCGAATTTGGTGCCGTGTAATAGAAAAAAAAAATATACAATTTTCCGCTCGAAGACCAAAATTAAGATTAATATTAATACTAATACTAATACGTATCTTGTACTGTGTCTGTATGTATTCTATAATATGTGTCTCGATCTTTTATGTGTTTATGCTTTGATTTTTTTTTTTAATTATTTAATTATGTTTGTTTGTTGTATTGGTGGATTAATGATATTTTTGTATAATTCTAAGTGTGACGAATATATTTTTTTGTAGAAAAAGAACATTATGGAGATGGAGATCGAGATGGAAAATTCTGAGAGGTCCCCCGAATACATATACTCGGTAACAGAAGAATATCTCAAAGAAATCGAACTAGCATTGGACTACGCGTGGGATAATTTCGAAACCTATATTGACCCTGTTGACGCTGAAGTCGTACTAGCCGACCCGGTACTGAGCAACCCACCACCGCCACCGCCGCCACCATTATTTTCACCACCGTCAATAATCATCCCAAATAATAATAATGATAATAATAATAATGATAATAATAATAATGCCGTCTACAAAAGATTTGAAGAGCTGGATTTGCAGCACCGGGAACTGATGGAAAGGGCGAATCAGGTTGAAAAGGCGGTTGATTATCTGATGATCTACTATTACCTGAGGAAGAATGGGTCCCTACCGCCGAATCACGACGAGCTTAATTCTACAGTGGAATGGTTTACAGACAGAATGAACACTCTCCAGAAATCTTACAGAGCAAAACTATTGATGGATCCTGACACCGACACTGACACCGCTTCTCATTCATGTCTTGATCTCATGATCCTCAAGTTTCGACACATGAAGCTGATGACGTCATCTTCAAACAAAAATTATTAATTCCCCTTTTTTTTTTTTTTTTTTTTCCTATTTTTAAACTGGACTAGTATTATATATATCTTCTTTTTGGTTGATTTGTTTTCATTTATTATCCTTGGTGATTCTTCATATATCTATTTTCAGATCTATTATTGTTTTCATTTAAATTAGATATTAATTCTTCATATCTATTTGTTTCCATTTATGGCATCATTTGATTTTATTTTTCTTTGTTACTACTCAAATATATATTTATTGGATTAGCTTGATATTGGTCTAGTATTATCTTGTTTTCGTTGAATTTGTTTCCATTTATTATTCTTGATTCTTCTATTTTACGTGTTTATTCTATACTACATTGAGTAAAAAGTTAGAAACATATTTCAATATCAAATTTTTAAATATTCTTATTACTTCCCTTATTGTTTTCATGATTTAGTAATCAATTTAATTGATAGTTGATCGTAAAATTTATTTTCATTATTTTTTTTATGAAAATATAGAAAAAAAAATTATATATAAAGAAAAGTTATACATATATTTATATATCATATTTATAAATAAACCCTCGTACTATTAATATTTACACACATTTCTCTCAAGTTCGGTAATACATTACTGATTACTCTGTAGAAGCAAGTCTCTCTCTCTTGTTTCTCTCTCTAAGTTCAAACTGCTTCACAAAGAAAGAAATGTTGAGAAGGGCGCTGCTCCAAGCTTCCACACGCGGTCTCTTCTCGTCTTCTCCACTGTCACTCGCATCTCTGCGGCAATGCTCTTCGTCTTCTTCCTCACACAATTCTCAAATTTCAAACGATCATTTCGTCGAACACTTGGACGACACACCTCAACCACCAGCCACCGCCACCATCTCCATCGATCGCTCCTCCTTGTACCACCCTCCCGGTAAATAAATCACTTAATTCTTCTATTCTTTCCTCATCCCCCCCTTTTTCCCCCTTAATTAAGAGTTAAATTAGGCTTAATTATGGCTTATGAACAGAGCATTCACACGAATCGTCTGCTGATTCTGAGCTCGTTAAGCACCTCAAGAACATCATCAAGGTAATCTCCATGTAATTTGTTTTATATTTTCGTGATCTTTTATTGTGATTGATTTGATTTACATTGGGTTGTTTTTTTGGTTGGTCCAATGGGATTTTTTATTTTTGAATTTTTTGTTGTTGTTATTAGTTCAGAGGGGGGCCAATTACAGTTGCTGAGTATATGGAAGAGGTCTTAACGAATCCGAAAGATGGGTTTTATATGAATCGAGATGTCTTTGGAGCCGGGGGCGACTTTATTACCTCCCCGGAAGTGAGCCAAATGTTTGGAGAGGTAGTTTATGTGTTTCAGATGAAATGGTTATCAATAATTAGTATCATTTGTTTATACATTTGTCGATTAATATACATTTCTTGCGTTTAGATGGTTGGCATTTGGGCAATGTGCCTTTGGGAGCAAATGGGACAACCAAAAAGAGTTAACTTAGTCGAACTCGGACCAGGCAGAGGAACTCTTTTGGCTGATCTTTTGCGCGTACGGCTTCTCCACTTACTATATATATGTTCATGATCTTGTGACTAGACATGTATTTACGTCACTTGTAAGTGTCGATACTTGAAAATTGTTCGGTTGCTGTTGTGTAGGGTGCATCGAAAATCAAGAACTTCACAGAATCGTTGGAAATACATATGGTTGAAGTTAGCCCGGCATTACAGAAACTCCAGTATCAAAACTTGAAATGCGTGACTGAAGACGGTGGCGATGGAAATGCAAATAAAAGGTGTGTTAGCACATTAGCTGGCACACCTGTATCATGGCATGCAACTCTCGAACAGGTTCCAACTGGATGTAAGGAATTACGTTTCAACCTTCATATTATATATATATATATATATATATATATATATATATATATATATATATATATATCATTTCTCTCGTTACTAGTCAATGATGTTCATGACATAGTCTCTTTATTATTCAAGAAGATACGATTCCACTGTATTTATGGTGCATGGATGTGTTCTTTTTATGGAGTTAGCAATTTATTCTGGATTTATCGAACTAAATGTTTACATTGTTCTTTCAGTGCCTACAATCATCATTGCGCACGAGTTCTATGATGCTTTGCCGGTGCACCAATTTCAGGTTTAATCTAACCTTTGGAATGTAGTTTATCACTTTGATGCTATTGCTACCTCCTTACCCTATGAATTCAATCTTTTTAGTTCCTCCGTTTTATTACTAGACGCCATCCTAATTTCATCTTGTGGGGGTGAGCCACTATAGGGCCACGGGGGCCATGACCCCCAACACTTCTGTAAAACGAAGTATTTCTATGTATAAATTTGTTATTTTTGGAGTATTGTTGGTCCCCAGAGAACTTTTTAGTGTAAATTTGGCCCCCGCAGTGACTAAAATCTTGGTTCCAATAGTGTACAAATTGTTATGATATATTGAAGCAAGCTGATTAACTATTCATTGTTATCTTGCAGAAAGCTTCTCGTGGTTGGTCTGAGAAGATGGTTGACCTTACTGAAAATTCATCGTAAGCCTTTATACCTCCTCTGTCGTTTTTTTCTGATTGGCTGGCTAGCCTTGTAGATAAAACCAAATTGTCGGTTAATAATTATTATTTATTTTTAAAATTTGTTGTGTAGGTTTCGTTTTGTTCTATCTCCCCAGCCCACACCAGCAAGTCTCTATCTCATGAAACGCTGCAAATGGGCTGAGACTGAAGAACTCGCTAAAGTTAGTCATATTGAAGTTTGCCCAAAGGCGATCGATTTAACTCAAGAAATTGCTAATAGAATCGGCATTGATGGTGGAGGGGCTCTCGTAATTGATTATGGCCTCAATGGAATAGTGTCGGATAGTCTGCAGGTTCGCTTCTCTGCTAGAACTCATCCCTTTAACTCTTCAATTTGGAACTGCATGAATTAACTAAGACCTCGTTTGGTTCCTAAGATAAGATTAAAAAATCTAATTATATTATTGGACCATGGGAGGTCCAATAAATAATTTCCCTGAAGTATAGAATGATATTTTGGACCCGGAAAATTATTGGGTTTGCCAAACATCAAACGTAATCCGATTATTTTAATTAATCATGGCTAATCTCCCCACCCAAACGAGGCCTAAGGGAGCAAGTATAGGTATAAAGTACAACTTTAATGAAAATCAGATGTCAATCATCGTGTATTTTACATAAGGTTATTCGGTTCATACGAGTTTTTTCGACCTGCTGTGCAAAGTGGAAACCGTATTGAACATTTTCTGTAATAGGAGCAATCTGATTTTATTTAATTACAGGCAATTAGGAAGCACAAGTTTGTGGACATACTGGATAATCCCGGATCTGCTGATCTCAGCGCTTATGTTGATTTTGCTGCAATTAAGCATTCCGCTGAAGAAGTTTCAGGTTTGCCTCAGTCTTGTTATATTGATATAGTTGTGATAGCTCGGTTAAAAGTTCAAACCCAAAAAGAAAAATAAAAACAAAATAGTTATTTTCCCGATATCGACATATAAAATGCAATGATTCTTCCAACTCTCTCCAAGTAGCGGAACCAGAATTTTATCTTCACATGAGCTAAATGTACGCTTAAAGTTTGCAACGGGGCGATTATACTACATTGCTCTCGAAAAATAACAAATCTCTAATATTTTATGAATATTCACTTGGTTTCGTTATTCTTGGTGGCTCCGCCACTCAATATTTCCCTTATAGTTGTTTCTAAAAACGATGAAAAATGTTGTGCAGAGGATGTGTCCGTACATGGTCCAATGACTCAATCGCAGTTTCTTGGTTCACTTGGAATTAACTTCCGAGTTGAAGCATTGTTGGAAAAGTGCAATGAAGAACAAGCGGAATCTCTGAGAACGGGATATTGGCGTCTGGTTGGTGATGGTGAAGCCCCGTTTTGGGAGGGCCCCGATGAACAGGCTCCCGTTGGTATGGGGACTCGCTATTTGGCCATGTCTATTGTCAACAAGAAGCAAGGTGTTCCTGTTCCTTTCTAACATAACAATTAATTAATTAATTAATTAGTTAATTAATTGCAACTGTTGGAATGTACAACAGTTTTCAGTACCAGAGTGAGTTTTTTTTTTCTTTTTTTTTTTTAATTAACGTTTTTTTTAAAGAAAAATAAGTCAGTGTTTGTTGTTGAAAGGAGTACCTCCTTCTTCGTGATTATTTATTTAGGGTAAATTACAACCACCTTCCTGAGGTAAAGTGTATTACAAAAAAACCCTTTTTGTTTGACCAATTACATCCAACTCCTTGCAATTTGTAAATTTCTTACATTCATCACCCTACAAAAGGGTGTTAACGTAAGGAATTTACAAATTTAAAGGGGATAGATGTAATTATTGGAAACTGAGGGGTTTTTTTGTAAATAGACATTACTTTAGGGGGCGGTTGTAATTTACCCTATTTATTTATGCCAGCAACATCGAAATATCAGAATATATTATTTAATCACAATCCATAAAATGGACTTGGAGATGTTGATGCACTCGATGAAGGTAGTTCTAATTATATACATTTTACTGAGCGGAAATTGGAACTGAATTTTTTTATCTTGGCGGATTTTGATCTACATATTTTTGATATTGGGACAATATTATTCATTCTGAACTCCAAAATAACTGTTTTTTGAGTTTTTTTTTTTTTATTGGATTAGAATTTGTTTGATTTTCCATCGATTTAATTTCAAAAGTTTCAAATTTTTATGACGATTAAATTTCTATTATTGATATTTTTTATACTAAAATCGAACATTTTTTTTTGAACTTTTGCAATTTTTTATGCGATTTAGTCATTTTTTCACTTAGTTTGGGACAAAATTTAATTTCCGAATTTTCAGGTGACAAAATTGAAATTATTTTTTCACTCTAGAATTACAATTGGCGCCCCAAAATTCACAATCTGCAAACCGAAGGCGAATATACATTTTATCACGCTGAAATGACACAATTGCCCATTGGTTCAGAACTCTTTTTAAAGTCTTTTTCCAGAATTGTATCGTTTTCCGCACTCATCTACGATTCTGTACTATACTTTTCAATTTTGACTTTCTGAAGACCATGGGTTCCATCGTATCTAGCCTCCTCGGCGGCGGCGAAGCGGCGGCGGCAGCCGAATCATCCGGCGCCGATCCATCTGGACCGTCGCGCGTCACCGCGTTCCACTCCTCGCAGCGCTGGCAGCTCCACTTCAACTCAGCCAAGCAATTAAACAAACTGGTGATTCTCTTCGCCCTCTCTTCATTTCTGACTGTATTGGAAAAGACTCCGTTTATCTTATAGAATATCTTTCCCAATTTCAGTTCTAGATCCCTATCAATCGAGACCTAAAATTGACAAAATTCAATTCGAAATTCATTTGGAATTTTGCGATCAAATCTTAAAGTTTAACAGTTAACTTAACGGCGTCCAAAAAACAGCTTGAAGTACGTCTGATCTGATTGTTTCTCATATTGATTCTGTGTTTTTTTTTCGTAAATTAGATGGTGATTGATTTTTCCGCTACATGGTGCGGTCCGTGCAAATTCATGGAGCCGGTTTTCAACGACATGTCCGCCCAATACACCGACGTCGATTTTATCAAAATCGACGTTGATGAGCTCGCGGTTCGTTTCCTATCTCAGTTCGGAGATGTTTCCATGTTCTAGTTCCTCTCGATTTATTTCTTTTTTTTTTTGCTAATTATTGATTATTGATATATAGTTTTTGGTTGATTTGTGTAGGATGTGGCGCGTGAGTTTGCAGTGCAGGCAATGCCAACATTCGTATTGCTAAAGCAAGGGAAGGAAGTCGAGAGGGTGGTTGGAGGAAAGAAAGATGAACTCGAGAAGAAAATCCTCAAGCACAGGGAAGCTCCTAAATTTGCTGCCTAATATTTTCGTTGAAATTATTATTTCTCGCGTAATTTGAATTATGCTCGTATGTGATGAATTACTGCAGACTGTTTTTCTCTTTGGCGAATTGAGTTATGTGTTATATAATTTATTTTAGTGATGATGATGATGATGATGACGATGATTGTTAATGATGATAATGGATAACCTGATATTTGTATTTTTTATGAATAAAAATCCATTCAAAAAGTGGTCGGTAGTTTACGGCAATCTCAAGGTACCTTGCTTTGCTAACAGTTGGACTTTTTTGTATCCTAAGTGCAAGTTAGTTACCTTCTGAATCAAATCCAGATTACTATGTAAATCTGATGTTTGTTTTCTGTCACGGAAGAACTCAAGCAATATCAGTCGTGCATTCGTGAGTATGCATGATTATGCAAGTTAGATAAGAAGTTAGTATTAATAGTTTGTAGCTAATCGATGTGATGTTGATAGAGGACTCGTGATTTTGAATTAGTACATCTGTGATTATATTCCGATGACTGAGAGTTGATTCATTCATCTCGTCACGCTGTAGGTAGTTTGTATTATGATGGAAAAGTGTATTGCTCTATTCATTACCACGGAAATGGAGTTTTACGAACTTTCCCCGTAACTGGACGATCATTTCGAGATCTTCCAACATATTCTAGGTTTCAATGTGATTTTTTTGACGAGTCCAACGTGGAGCGTTTTTTTCTTTTTTTTTTTTTTTTGCAAAAAGATGAGATTGCACCCCCATGGAGTGGAATAAATACGTAATATAAACTTTGCCTGCTCTATTCACTGTGTGTGTGTGCGCGCCTGCGTGTCTTTTGTGTGAGTTGGAGGTGTTGGGGATATCGGTACCGTTGTAGGATCAACTGAGCCATAGTGGAAGCACCAACGAGGAAGTGTAAGTGGCCACTTCTGTTGTTTTGTGAGTGAGTTTGTATATTTCTCTTTCTCTGAGGTTCTTCGATTGTGGTTATTTTGAGTTGTGAGAGTGTGAAGCGTATGAAGGATAGATTGAAATTTGAAACTGAGTTACCAAGAATTTTATTTATGGCTTGGGCCTATGGATGAAAATTCGAATAGAAATTCTGAAAGCGGCCGATTTTGATCCGATTTTTTCCAATTTTTGAACAATATTTTTCATTTATGGACTCATCCCAATTCCTATTTTTCCAAAAAAAAAATCAAAAATATTTCAGAAATTCGGACTCTTTTTTTCCGAAAATTATACCGATTATCTTTTGGAACAAAATTGAAAATAGTTTTGAACTTCCGAAAAAATGGATTTTTTTAATGTGTTAATTCCGTTCCGATTGGTTCAGTTTTTACTCCTTAGGAGTCGTTTGGTTGTGGCTTCCTTCAAATAAAAAAAATGGCTGTAGGGATGGATGGATACGAGTTTGGCGGGTTTCATACACGAAACGAAACCAGCCTTTTCGGGAGCAGTTTAGGTAAGTTGAACGATTCTCGTAGGGGTAACGAGTCCTATAAGAACCGACTACTGTATAATTTTTTTTACATTATTTTAATTGTATTATAACTGTGAAATATATTTAACAATTAATTTTTATAAATACAAATTTATGATTTTCACTTCATCAAAAATTGGTCGCCGTTCTGATCTGGGCTGGTGCTTCCCAATATTGATGCCCCGATGGGGGACGATTGTTGCATGATTGTTGGTGCACAACGGGCAAATTCACGGGGTGGGGTCGGGCAATGGGTAAAAGTTATGGTGGGTTACACCTGTGAAATTTGGGTTATGAGTCGATGTAGATTTGCATTTTAGACTAATGTCTGTCTGGGCATGTTTGAAGTTTACATGATTTTCACAATCCAGATCTTGGATTTAGACGAACTCGTTGCAAAATCGAGACTAGTGTTTTCTATTTTACGCATTTTAAAATTATGTCAAATGAAAATAAAAAACACGAAAGTAAATTGTGTCAAATCGTTATTTGTATGTGGCTGCAAAAACATTTTTCACTATAAGTTACTAGAAGGTGGATTGAAACGGGTACGAAAAAACATTTATCATGCGTCAACAATACGCCCGCAGATGAAATGGTTTACTAACTTTTCACAGTTGAATTGCATATAAAACATTATATCCTGTGGTCACATAATTGCTCGTAATGAACCTTTTAATCATTCTGGAAAAAGCAGCATATATGTAAAAACCCATAGTGAAAGTGCACTTCCCCTTTGAAACTGTGAAAACGTATTTAGCAGAGTCAATCTTACATTAGAGAAAGATCCTCTAATTTGAATCACCGTCAAACTGCTACATACATGAACAAATATAAAACAAGATAGCAGCTGGCAAGTGGAAAGTACCAGCTTTAATACATCGTTTCTTCAGCTTGATTCTTGTGGTTCTCGGTCCTAGACTTTCTCGGGCTAGAGCCTTTAACCACCAAAACCAAAATTATTACCAAAATAAGATCGGATAATTTTTTAAGTCAATTTTCTTTTTATTTTTTTGGTTTGGAACTTACCGTTGCTGTTGCTACTATGCTTGTGAAATGGCCAGAGATTGACAAGGCGTTCCAAAACGGCAGCACTTTTGGAGAAGTAACCAGAGAAACCTTGTGGGATTGATGGTGGAGGAAAATCTTCAGCAGGCATTGCGAATGGACGAATCATTTTCTCCATCATCTCTAATGTTAAATACGATCCGACATCCTGCAGTCTCTCGGGCCCCATTATTGGCAATGTGTGCTCCTGATGCAACGAAGCTGCCTCACTATCATTACTCTGTTCCAAAAACAAAAAGTAAAAATAAAATAAAATCAGTCGTTGTTTCCTTTGATATAAGAAAAATGTGTGACTTCGAATGCTTTAAAATGAATGGCTATAAGCGAACTCGATGCAATTGGACGAGTCTTCAACGTGGTTGATTATTATATATCTCTAAGACATACTTAGCAACATGATATTAAAAATAAATTCAAAATGAGGTTTGAGTTGAGGGTTACCTCCAGAGGGGATAAATCTGCACCTCTGCTAAAAGTCATCTCGATACGGAATCTCTTCGGATCTTCTAAAGCCACCTGCATTCAGTTTTAAAAAGTGTATTGGACCATTAAAACATCAATGATCAACAGTACATAGAAACAAAGTATTGGACCTAATTTCAGGCTATAAAATAAAAATAAAATAATGAAGTGCAAAGCAATCTTAACCAGAAACAAATGTTTGCTATGAAACATGGAAACCACTAAAGACTAACCTCTGTGTTCTCGAATAGCCTGAATACAATGTAACTCATGTAATCAAGCTCCTTTGTCCGATACAAGCGGTCCAATGCGTTGTCACAAACAAGGCTAGGTTCTTCTTGAAGAGATTCATCCAGGTTGCAGTATCGGAGAACATTCATTAACGAATGGATATGTGACTCCTGTCATTTCATATCAAAGACAGGTCGGTTAATTTTAGATAGGAGAAAGATGAAAGTAGTCCCCCAGAATTTTATTGAGCAATAGACATTTATCATATTTGAAAACTTCAAGAAACAGAGTTGAGTTATGTCAACTCACCGAAGTAAAATATAGCCGGGTTCGCACATGACGCTCTGGTGTTTTCACGTTTGCGTATCTGGTGAAAGAATTTAAAACATGTATAATTTGAAATAAAACTATCTCTTGAGCTTAACTAGATGTAATCATAACCTAAGGTTGAGAGTAAAGAAGAAATAATTACTTTGGATCCAAACGGTATTTAGGTTCTTTATCGTCATCTTCATCTTGGTCCATTGACATGTCACTGGTAAAACTAGCCCTTCTCGTGCCATCTATCTTACCATAGGCCTTTGTATGGTAATCCGTTTCTTCCTTTGGAGCAGGCACTGCTATATTATTGTCTTGATTACTCTTCAATTCTGCAACGCTTATTGCTTCTTCACGTGTATTCCTCAGATCAATTAATATTTTTCCCAGCAACCGACGAGCAATCTGAGATTTCACAAAATAAATAAATGTCCGATTTTAGAGATAAATCTTTAACATACATACGGCATGGCATCCTCACAAGTAAAGCAGAATTACGAAACTTGAACCTATATAGGGTTATTTTATTTACTGCAACCAGTCTATTTCTACCCATCTAAGTTCATCTGCAAACTACTTTTCCCTTTGCTTTCCAAAGTTATACGTAATTCAGGTGAAAATGCATACTGCAATATCTAAAAATTAGCGGTAAAATTTACCTTTGATCCAATTTTCAGTTTTTGCTTCGCATTGATTCCGTACTCGTTTGGAATGACGCCATCTGCAAGTAACTGAAAAAACAAAGAGAATAAATGCATGTTAAAAGATTTTGATCAGTAAAAAAACAAAGAGTGCGCACACTGAAAACATTAGCTGTGACATACCTGAGCAACTTTGAAAAGTTCGTCTAAGCCGTCCAGATTTAGATGTGCATTGTGCAAGAGATCATACCTGTCAAAGAAAAAGGGCATAATAAGGAAAAATCCGAACCACAACAAGAACGCGACTATGAGCCTTCTTCCTAACTTGACATCCAAATGTCAAGCATCTTCATGTATGCTTCCCTAAATAAACTATATAAGCAATATTAATGTTCAATGCGAAATGACAAGCACAATTCTATTAATACTTGTGAATATAAGATGGGCACAACCAAACTTTATTATGCACGTGATAATTAGAACAACAAAGCATTGTAGAAACTGAAGTAATAAATCCCTACTTGCAAGAGTCATAGACATCAGGAATTTGTGTGATATCGAACCGCCTGCAGTTGGTTTCAAAGTTTAGTTAGTTAAACTTTATACAGATAGAGTCAGCTAAATCTTGGTGTAGAAGTAAAAATTGCAGCAATCTTATTTGTTGTAGAAATAAGAAAAAACGCGGGGAAAAAAAAAATCAATACTTACTCTTTGCGTTCATTATACAAATCTCTCTCAAGTTTTCTCCAACGAGCAAACATGAGAAGAAATCCCTCGCCACAAGGTAGCCCTGCTGCAATCCGATCAACATCTATATGCGTCTTACCAAGTGCCTTAGCTTGATCATATGGGAGAATTACATCATATGAGCTTGACTCAGCAAGCTCCTCGTCTTCGTCAATGGCTAGGAGTCTTACTTGTTCAGTAACTTTCTTTGTTAACTTGACCTAATAATAATCATGAGAAACACAATAAACTCACAAACACAATAAACTCGGAGATCGTAATATAGTGCCATTAATAACTTATACAGGATGTTAGCACTTATTTACCAGTTTAGGTAAGACTTCAGATGCATTTGGAGGAAGTCCAGCTCCATCAACCATCCAAGGTTTTTCTCGTGAGCTATTGTTGTGAGCAGATTTTGAGCCAGAAGTTATAATCTCATTTAACCTGGCCTGGGAAAAAAAAATTAAAGTTGATGAGGAAAAAAATTAAGACAGAATTCTGTATCCGGTTTTTTATGATACATATTCCAGCACTTTCTTATGTGCTTAGATCTAAAATCAGAACCACTTTACATACACTTCAAACAAAATCATAAGGACAATAAATTGAACACCTTTTTGAATTTCAAGAAAATGGTTTTGAGTTTTATTCCATGATGTTGATGAAAAGGGTCTGGTAGTTGACCTTTAGATATGTCAAACCCCAAAATTGAGTCGACATCTATAGTGATATTAGTGTCTTACTAAAGATTAATGAACTCTTCTTTATTATTCTAAACTCTAATGTCCACATTGCCTCTTATCCAAAAAAAACATAATTCAGCTGAGAACAGTGTGCAACATCCAGCAGCATGGTATTGATTTATTGTGTCAAAGATAATGATCTGGAGGATCCGTGAAAGCCAGGTAAAAACTGTTTTAATCAAATTATTTGTCCAAGTCATGGTTTGCACTCATATTTTCTTGTCTATTTTTTTTATTTTATCGAAGTAAAAGGACAGGTAAGAGTGAAATAAGGTAACCAAAAACCTAAAACTAGTAGAAATGGACCCATATAAACTGTAAGATTGATTGACAAATGAATTGAACTTATTCAACTACATGCATACTGAGACCTGTGCCGGTTTTTGCATCCAAATGACTAAATGAAAGTAATTATATGAGTTGTAATGATGCACAACCCTCTGTTTTGTCTAGTTAAATATTGCAAAAAAAAAAAGAAAAAAGAAAAAAAAATGTAGCTAACAGCAAGACAAACCTTAGCTTCTTTAATCTCAATACTAGCATTGTCAAGTCCATCCAACATTGAGGAGTCCTTGCTGACAAGTGAAACCTAAAACCGTCAAAGAAAATTAATGAGTAAACTTACCTATAAACACGAGTCGATAATAAGAGATTTAAGGTTACCAACCAAAATAGGCGTCAATTGTCCTTCCAAGTCAAGGAGACCCTTCGCAAAAGCAGCTGCTGACATCTGCCAATATTAAACAAATAACTGAAGTGAAACTCACGAAGCAAGATTTAACTCGCATAATGGTGCCACAATGGAATTTTGCAAGTCATATAATTAACTCCAACAATTCTCAACATGAAATATCAGAGGAATAAAAGATGATAGAGCTTTTGGAAGTAAAACCTGTACACGGCCTTCGTCTGAGCTGTATATTTTTAGGTCATGGCGGTAAGTACTGTGGAGACGAAGCAGACCAGTACCTTCACCTGAGAAGAAACAAAAGAATTGACATGCATGAGAAATTGCTCCAAGTTTCATCAAAGAAAGTAATAATGTTAACCAAGTTCAAATTCAAAATGCAGACCAAAGATGAGAGGACCATCAATACATAACCGCAAGACAATGTGCATTATATATATATATATATATATATATATATATATATATATATATATATATATATATATATATATATATATATATATATATATATATGTGTGTGTGTGTGTGTGTGTGTGTAATTTTTCTTTTTTTTGAGACTGATGTGCATTATATTTAGCAAAATAAATTTTGATCAATGCCACATTAGGCAGCACTACATAATTGAATATCTTAATAGATAACTACTAACCTGGATACATGTTATTCCGAAAGTACCTTCCCAGTTCTTCAGCCTGCCAAGAAAATGATGATCACATGAATGTTTTTATAGCAAAATCATCACACACAGCACAGCTTTGTGCTCACAAAAATGGAAAACTATAGATATATCTCATGTCTGAAATCAAAAACATATATAAATCAGCACTCATGACACAAAACAATTGCCACCTGCTTTCTGCCAGCATGAGTAAGAACACCACCATATTTAAGAACCATCAAGGCCTCAGTAGGTCGTTCTTCTTCTCCTTCACCATTAGCTTTTTGAACCTTAACCCATTTTAATGGCTTAAGTTGAACCTTTCTATATATGCCAGAAAAATGACCACCCTGTACCAGAAACATAAATGATCAGAGAAATAACCATAACAATCATCTAAAAGAAATCCCCAAAGCAGCCCAGAAAGAATACGAAAACATAAAATTCTGAAACAAAATCAAGATTATGTGAGAGAAATCTAAACGTTTTAAGATGCTAACAAGTAAAAGTATTTAAATTACTCGGGCATAAGCAAAAGGAGCCATGTAAGGTTCCAACGTTAGGAATTGAGGTGGATTTTGACAATAAATATGGATCAGCCAGATAACATTCTTCTTTACTTTCTGTTGGTTATGATTGTCTGCATTCGAAGTACATGGTCAGAAATCTTCTGAAGCCCATAAAAAAACTGAAGTTATTCTCTGTGAACTAAGTTTCATCCAAAGAATGGAATTGTTGCAGTCTGCTAACTGACAAATGAACTTAGAGAACTCAATCGCAGATGCAATATATAGTTCTTCCCTCGCTTCAAATAATATCTAAAAGAAACGTCATCCAAAATTCTACAGATCAACATAATAACAATGATGAAAATAATTTGGAAGATCCTACATGTTCGTTACTTTTGTCAAACTATAGATAGACAAGCACATAGAGATATAGAGTTGAACCAACTAAAATGATAAAGAATTTCAACTTATACATGAAAACAGCAAACAAAGAGAATTCGTATTCACAATGTAAGCATATATCTAACCTCCTCTAGCACAGCTTTCACTTGGCGAAGCTTTTCGGCATGCTCAATGTCTTCAGCTTCACTATCACTTTCTCGACCAGGTCTGCGTGATAATTTTATCATCAGTACATGTGAACATATAGAAAATTCAACATGCACATGAAGAAGCTGTAAAAATTATGTTATTCTAATAACCTAGCAATAAGAACTATTTTCTTTAAGAACATGAACCTAGAGGTAAGTCATTATTGGATGAAAGCGACAAGCATGTCAATAGCAACTTTATTTTGAAAACAAATTGAGATTCATGTTCTTAAAGAGAATAGTTCTTATTCATATAATGATAAAATTATCACACATGCCTGACACGAGGAACTAAAATTCGTGTTGCATCCAAAAGATCTTGCAACTGGATTGCACTTTTCAGCTTTGTCTGCAGAAGCATATAAGAGAGATTGCAAGTTAAAACACAACAGTTGTACGTGATGTTGAACAATAGCATCAACAGAAAGAGGAGAAATTTTGAAAATTTAGTACCTCTGCTCTAGGTCTCCCCCCATTATATTTTAACATCAAATTTAAAAGCTTTTCCTCGGTGACTTTCAATTTTACTTTCTGCTTTGGAGTTCTGTCACCACTGTCAAACAGAGAATGATATCTCAAGTGAGAACAACACAAAAAAAATAAAAATAAAAAAGAGAAACTAGCAAAGGGGATATATCTTACTGACGAGTAATGGCGATCACACAACGTAGCTCTTCAGATTGCCCAAATGTCCCAATGATTCCACTTCCTTGCCGTGTTAATCCTTCAGACTGCTGAACTGGTTCGTTAACCTTCCATGGCAAAGTTGGAGGAAGTGTTGAAGAAAGATGTGGGGCCTTTGCATCAAGAAACATCTTTCTCAGAACACAAGCAGCATCATCGTAATATCTGCATTTAGTAAGACATAAATATCATCTGAGAGGAATAAGGAAGAAAAATAACAGAACAGAAGAAAACTATAGAACAAGACAAAGAAGTGAAATGAAAGAAAATATCAAGAAATAAAGGTAATAAGAGCATCTAAAGAACTCCTTAATTTACTGATTCACTGGCTAGTATAGCATCCCTAGACGAAAGCTGCTCAATTGATGAATCTCACAATCCATAAGCACAAACAAAAGATACCATACAACATAGACAGTTTCAGAATAGTTGCTGTAGATATCCATTTACTAATGAAATCAAAAAACCAAAGAAAATGAAAGCAGCAACCAGAAATGTTACTTGTGCGAATTCTTAACAAAGCTCCATCCATTGACATCACAGACGTAGGATCTCCCATCGCAACGTAAGAGATCAAATCCGCAAACCTGAAACAACATCAAATGATCCTCAAAACATTGCCAAAAAGACATTTGACACAAACTAAATGTAGTGAATATGCAAAATGTTAGTTAATGAAATGATAAGTTGGATCCATCAACAAAATCTAAATCAGTATGGTATATGGACTAAGAAATATTGCCACCCCATAAATTCAACACCATTAAGTCGGACCAACTTCGGTTCCAGAGAGAGGAATAAAATTCGGAAAAGTCCAGTAATAGCATTTCAAATAAACAAGATGCAATCAAATGGTATAGACCCATCTGGAGGAAACCACAAGCAGTGACTGGAATCCAATCCAATCGTACCGTACTTAAAGTATTGTGCACTCTTAAATGCTACTTTTGATTATGGCTAACATCTTCATTTGAATCACATCCAGAAAATTAAAATTATTTTTCAAATAAAAAGATATTGTGGTGAGCAAGCTGTGGGAGGGATGAGAAACAGCAAAAGTGAACACAGTTACTGAAAGTTGTTTTCATGACTAGCACGATAAAAAATTCTAATAGTAATTAATGGATGACAATTCGACAATAAATACACATATGAAATTCCATACTGACTTACAGCTTGCCCAAAAGCACTGAACACCTCCCTTGCCATTTGCTTCTCAGCGGGAGTAAGTAGAACAGGATATCTGACCTGAAAGGAAAGAAATTATTGAGGTAAATAAATGTTATTCAAATCAAATTAGTGAATGAAAAGAACTAATCAAAGGCATCACTAGTCCTAAACTTTATGGAAAAGAGCGGGGTAGGCAAGTAAGAGATATCAACATTCAGCACCTTTAATTGTTACATGGGTTGTAAATTATACTGTAGCGTGCTCAAACTTCAGTTTTGTATCAGAACGGGATAATTATTACGCACAAAGACGATTGAAGGATTGTAATAGATCCTTGGATGCTAGAGATGGGAGAGAAAAGCAATTGCCAATGTGCTTTATAATACTGAAACCAACAAACTATAGACGATCAGATTTGATCTTTATTATCTTTTCATTTTTACTTTTTGCTACTAAGCTTGTTGGGAAAACGAAGGGGGGCAGCAGAAGTTGGCACCTATTATTTGTTACACATGCAGAAAACTGCATCTTCGCCTTTAAAAAATGCAACAAATATTGCACTGTACACATAGATATCTGAGTTTCTTACTTCTTTACCATCAGGATTCCTCATAACAACTCCATCAACCACAGGAGATTTTCTCGCCTCAGCGTGAGCATACTCAGGGCCCACTGTATACACCTGAAACGCAACAAGAAATTTACTGTTGACTTTTTAATACAATAGAGACGAGAACATTCGGGCAGAGTTCAAATAGCCTTAAGACAACAATATAATATGTACAAAAATATTTGATGATTATCTCTTCACCTTTCGTTTGTTAATAAATATTTTCTTTTCTTGGATAGAAGAAAAAAGGGTGAGCATGCACCAGAAGGGGAAATGACAAGCACAATTTCATGAAGTTCTCAGTTCTCAAGAGGCTCAGTATTCGAAATTCCAATAGCAAAACTTCCACATCTGTTGGTATATCAGGAATTTCGAAGTATTCATGCATGAACAGATAAATTTTGACAAGGATTTTATTCATCAAGGATAGTAAAACAAAGATCAAACAACCTTCACGTCGGTTCCCCCAGTAGGCATGAATTCCTCGTATATATAAGACCCTTCACGTCTGACTCTTCTGACATCAGGACGAAATTCACTAGATCGGTTCCCAATCTGAGAAAGAAGCAGAAAATACCCATAAATTATCTATGGAGAAACCATAAAACAATATAACTAAAGACAAAGTGAAAAATCCGTAAACTAACACATTGCTGGTCAGAAATGGGCAATAACAGATCCTGGTTTGTTACCAAGTATCCGATTAAAAAAAATGATTATTCTCATTAACAAATTTACAAAGTAAGTTGGTTTAAATATTCTTGTATTATAAACTTCTCAACCAAATGACGTGATATCAGCTTATTAGGCAGCTTTTATCAAACCAAAAAAGAATAATCTAAAACAAGGGCTTAACAAACAAACAAATGTCGGTGCTAATGTATAGTAGCAATTAATTATAGTGTCAGAAAATCTCGTATCACACCAGAAGAAAAGTGAAATGAAGAAAATAAAATGGCAAGTTCTTGGATCATGGAACAGGTTAAAAAAATAACTACAAAAGATAAACACTAACGAAATAAATACTTTTAGAATGTTTTGATTGACCAAGTTTAAGACGTGGAATTTCAACACATATAAGCAAATAGCAATGGCAGTCTTTTGATATTTATCTTGTAATGTTTAACAATTCCTCTCTACCACTACTAAGCAATCCAAGCGATATCACTCTATACTTGAAGGAATATAGCAATAACGCAGAACCTTTAAAAACTCTCACCTTTCGGAACAACTCCTTCATTCCTCCACCAGCTGAACTAGGATAGTATATCATTATACTGTGGTCGTCACCTTCAGAAAACAGAACACAAAAATTGGAAGGCATTTCTATAGTAAAATATAAGAATAGGCACCCAAGTTTGCATTTCGCAGACTGGGCCCAACCACTATAACCAAAAATGTTTCGAGAATAGAACCAATATGCACAAAAAATTATACATAAATATCTTACCATCAATAGGCTTCTCTACAAAAGGCTTCCAGAATCGATTCCCATGGACCTCAACAAAATCTTCCTCCTCAATAAAATAATCCAACTCTTCATTCGGAGATTCTCGGTTAACTAGGGCATATCTTGGTACAGGAATGCCATAAAATTCAAGCCGCTGGATTGGCACACCACCACAATAAGAACCACCACAAACATAGAAGGCAGTTAATAAGAAAAATGCTTAAATTCTAGTTATGAGAATAAATATAATTGGTATCCATTTTCTCAACCGATAGTGAGAAAAGCTGAATATTGATATGGTGACTAAGAAGTCAAATCCCTCACAAATAATTTAATAGATAAAATGCGCAATTTCCAGATAGAAATGTGAATGTAACAGAATACTTTATTTGAAGATGTACGTTTATTAGTCAATGTATAAACAGTAGTTATAACAAATGCATTTCAAGACTAACTGAGAAGTCAAATCCAAGAAGACAACAAAAATTGCTAGGGAAGTAGCAAGAACAGGAAAACCAAGAAATGATGATAAATTTCACATTGTACGAAGCAGGATAAGATAGTTTTTTATGAACTGGCTGCACTTATGAGTCCAACTGATCAAAATTTCAAGTTCTTGTTACAATTAACTAGTAAAATAAGAAAATTAACATCAAGTTCCTCATATGCTCAGACAACATAGGTTCTGTCAGTCACTTTGTCTTTTGACATATCTGTCTTAGGTCGCGGATCAAACTAAATAAATGAAAAGCTACATATGGTGAATATTGCAAAGGTATGTATCTGATGACAAAAAATTCACACCTCGTATACTTTCCTTCGATCATGAAGAAGACGCTGTTGTCCCAGTTCATTCACAAGGAAAGGCCTAAAACAAATAATTGGTAAAGGTGCATTAGTTTTACCGAAAGCAAGATTACGTGCTCGAAATAAATTTCTTATTGTCTAACGTAGTAAAGAATACGATATACGAGTAGAGGCTTCCTATCAAGAATCAAGATTACTTGCATAAATTAATAATAACCAACTATTACAATGGTGATAGGAAACATCACTCCGATCATGTGCTCATGCAGCCATGCTTCCATAACAAAGGTGAAGTGTTTACTCTACTACTACACCAACCATGGCTCGTGAAACGTGAGATTATAGGAATATGCACATGCAAATAAGTAGAATAACTAAGTGTAACCTTACTTTCTTAGTGCAGCATATGCCTCAGCCCTCTCCAGAGGATAACCAGAGGAATGGAAGGCAATCAGGCATTGGCATATCGGCCAGCTGTAAAATATGAGTAACAATATTATCGACCAGGTAACATACAAACTAGCACAAAATACAATTGTCATCATCTAATCAACATTTAAATTACAACTGAAGAAATTCACCTCTGAATAGGCTCTTCAAGTATTACCTTGTCCCCAAAATGCACTATCTGCACCATTCAGAATCAAATGTTCAGCATTTACAATAGATACTAGTTAGACTGTTAGAGTATAAAACCAGCAACCGACATGAAACTGATAATGCACACTTAAAACCATTGGAATAAATAATTATTATTATTTTTATTTTTTTTCATATCATAACAGTGATCTCCATTATCCAAATTCACCAAAATTGAAAAACAATTAATCACCTCAAATTCTCCAAACGCCTCTAATCTCTGCAAAATCTGCAACATCGGCCCCGAAAAGGCCTGGAACAAAATCGAAACATCCAAACAAAGTTACAAACAGCAAACAGATGGATCAAACAAGACAAAAACAAAATCAATCAGCACTCTATCGATAGCATTCCAACTAATGGCGCATGGTTTTGTGAAGTGAAATATTTTTGAAGACAACGAGAACAAAAACCTCGGAGCCGGACTTCACCTTCTTTTCCATCACACAAACTCCTATCGTTACTTTATTCTTCATACCACCGTCCTCTTCTCCCACCATTTTCAACTGTAAAAACTACAAAAAAACAAAATCGATAAAATACGCATATATCTTCCTTCACAGCTCAAAACTCACACACACACACACACACAGGAGTGAATCAACATTTTCATTCATTTATACAACAATATAGATTTAACGAGCGAGAAATAAACAAATACGTTGTAACCGGAGAGAAGCAGAACTTCGTAGCGGAGCTGGCGATTACGAATTCGCCGCTTTTCCTGAGCTAACAGTCACGAGAAACTGTAGAGAGAGAAAGAGGAGAGAGAGAATGTGAGACTTGCAAGTGGAAAAAACGACGACTGTGTGTGTGCGCGCGGTTTGTAGGGGGTTAAAAAGTAGAGGATTGAGGATTCTGGGATATACGAAAAGGGGATAGGGGCGTGTTTGGGGCATGATATAAATTAAAAAAAAAAAATTAAAAAAAAAAATTAGGACGTGCTATTGAGTATTGATTGTGGTGGCTATAATGCGTGTCCCTCTCATTGTCCATCCTAATAAAGCTTAGTGTCTTTTCTCTAATGTTTGTTTTCTCTATCTCATCAAATATTTTAAAAAGGTTTGTCATTATCCATTTGTCATAAATGAATTTATGGTTAGGTGTTTTTTTTTTATTTAGAAAATCATCTGCTCTTTGTAAACATATAAAAAAGGTAGGGAAGATGTAGATTTTTTTTTTAATAATCATATTCTAGTTAGTTAGTGAGTTTTGGTTTCTAGTATTTGATGTATTATTGTACCATATATTAGACGAGTTTTCCCATAACATTGACAATTTAACAATAACCATATCAAGTTCAACTTATCTAGCAGTCGGAGTAAGTGAGCATGTATCAAATGATTCAAATTCGAATTCTCTTATCAACTGTCGTTACATCGAGTTTGGTTAGTCTAGTGATGTTTACATTCCTCGTACGGTTTGCAAGTTATTATATAAAGAGTATAAATTTACCCAGTGCACCTACATATATGATTGACTGTGAATTCTTTCACTACTACAAATTATTTTAATTTTAATGGCATGGGCTAAAGTAGTCACTGATTTTATTGAACTGTAACAATTAATTGTGGGCTTCAATTTATATCGCAAATCTCAATTAGTGTAAATAATATATCTTGTACAATTGAAGCTTTGGTAGCATTCTCAAAAGTTGAAAAATAAATGCATATGTAAATTGATTTTATTTAGATAGTGACCCCTAATACCATCTCCAATGGAGATGGCTATGGGTAGGGGTGGGGTGGTAAAACCACCTCCAATGGAGGTGGGTCAAGGGGGTGTGGGTCTGGGGTGGGTAGGGGTGGGGAGAGGGGTGAGGGGGAAAACCCTTGAGCTGCCCCCTTCCAACTCACGTGCTGGAAGGGGGCGTGTATCACACACGCCTCTTTTTTTTTTTTTTCTTTTTCTTTTCTTTGCTTTTTTCTTTTTTATTTGTTATATAAGTTAAATTTTTTTTTTCTTTTCCTTTTTTATTTTTTCTTTTTTACTTGTTAATTTTATATATTTTTATTTTCCTTTTCTTTTGTATTTATTTTTTATATTATATCATTATTTTATTTTATTTCAATTATTTAGTTACATAATTTAATATCACATAATTTCAATAAATCAAACACTTAATTTGTAAATAAAGACTTTTAATATTTTTGTTTTCATTTATTTTTCTTTTATTTTATTATTTCCTTTTGAATTATATCTTTACTCGTAATTTTATTATTATTATTATTTTATTTTGTTTCTTTATTTAGTTTTATTTTATTTAATTTTTAATATATTTTTTTTATAATTGTAAAAATTAGAAAAAACAACAAATACGATTATTGTGCTTTTTATTATAAATTTGAAATAACAACATAATTGTATTATTATAATTAAATTATTATTATTATTATTATTATTATTTATTATCATTATTTTTATTATTAATTATTATTAGTAATAATAATTATTAGTTATTAATACTAATATTAATAATAAAAATATTATTATTATTGTTATTATTATTATTATTATTATTATTATTATTATTATTATTATTATTATTATTATTATTATTATTATTATTATTATTATTATTATTATTATTATTGTGATTGATATTATTATTATAGTGAGAGTGAGAATTGGAAAAAAAGTAATAAAAGACCGAACGGTTGGAAACGACGTAGGTAGAGGGAGGGGGAAGGGGAGGGGTAGGGGAGGGGGAGGGGAGGGGCAAATCCCCCCTCTCCATTGGAGATGCTCTAACATGTCTTTATAGTATGAAAGGTTCAAAAGAAGAACCTTTAAGTCTTGTAGATGAAATCAAATAAATGGAATCGGTATTTCATGGAGGTTCCATATTCTATCCCCCAACACTTTTTAGCCTTTTTTGGGGAGTTTAATTTATTGAAGATGGCCTTTTTGTGATACGTGATTTGGTATTTTTGCAAGGTATCTACGAGGTAGGATATTCCTGTCAAGAAAAAGATTTTTAGGGTCTTGTTTGCCACTTTGCATGTGTGGGAAAAGGGTAGTTTTGTCCGTAAAAGATGGTCTAATGGTTGCAGCAATTGAGTTTGTGTCAATCGACTCAGATTGGAATCTCCTTGTCAATAATTGGTAGGTGGAGTTTGTTACACATCGCTAGTCTAATATAGTTTACGTTTCCCGTATGGTTTGCAAGTTATCAATCGAAAATGTAGATTTAGCACATATATAATTGGTTGTTGGTTCCTTCATTAAAAAAAAATAGCTTTGATTTGTTACATAATTACACGAACGCATAAATATTTATAGTATATAAATTTGATATCCCCGATAACTTATCGGATTGACGCGCAAATATTATATTATCATAGTTTATATTTCCTTCTAACTTCTAAATATGTTTATTATTGGACCTTCCAAAGTCCTCGTTAGATTATTTAATTTTATCTCAACTAATATAATATTGGCACCCAAACTAGGCCTTATGTAATTTATATAATACGATATAATGGATGAAGTTGACTGGTTATAGCATAGAATAAATCATATTTCTTATGAGATCTCACTTTCATAATTTCATTGGTCAACAACTATTTAAAATATAATTGTACATTTATAAAATAAAAATTAGATCTACTTTAGTGACAACAAAGTCAATCAACAAAGATCTATTCCATAATATAATTTCAATTATAAAACTATAATCATAAAAAAATAACTTATTAGATCCTGATGGATATTAAAGAACAGAGATTTGATCAAGCATCTTTCTCACACAGCTTCCTCCTTCAGATTAACTGCTATTGCCAGGTTGCCAATAGTTGTTCCAGCTATATATCCACCTGACCAAGCGTTCTGCCATAAATAATAATATTTTTATTAATAAATGAATGGAAAAATACATCACCAAATAAATAAATTATATAACTTGATTATCCAGAGGCAAAATACAGTGCTTAATTTAGATAAGCCTGTATTATCAATTTGTTAATTCTAAACCATTTACAGTAGAACTTCGACAAATCAATAATTTCGCTTAAATAATAGTTTTTTCTGGTCCGGTTCGGTAAACCTACTAAATTTATTAGTTCGATAATTTAATATTTCTCTAAATTAATATAATTTTACTAGTTCCTACTGTATTAATTTACAGAGGTTTAACTATATATGCACATCGAGTTTTACATATATGGTCATGCAATTTATTTCTCTAAACATTGGCATAAGGCTACTTAAGTGAATTTTATTTAAGAAGCTTTGGTAACATTAATTGAACAAAGTATGTTTCTAGACCAAATGAAATCAAATGCAATTGACGAAATAATAAAAGGAAAGAATTACTTCAAAAATTTAAATATGATCCATTACCTGGAAATTGAAGCCTCCGGTTATGCCATCGACATTCAATACCTACAACAAATATCAGCTGTCCTAAGTGAACTCATGATTGACAACTTGATAATAGCATTTACACTTACATTTCATTATAACATTTTCTAATATATAATAAATTTATTGGCAAAAGAAGACAACAAAGGGTCCATAGCTCAGTGGTAGAGCATTTGACTGCAGATCAAGAGGTCACCGGTTCGAACCCGGTTGGGCCCTTATTTATTTTTATTTTCTTTTTTCTTATTTATTTTTATTTTCTTTTTTCTTATTTATTTTTATTTTCTTTTTTCTTATTTATATTTTTATTATTTTTAAGTTAAAATTGACTTTTTTATTGCATTTTATTTCATTTTCCTTATTTATTTTTTGATTATTTGTAAGTTAAAATTAACTTCTTTATTGCATTTTCATTCCTTTTCTTATTGCATTTTATTTTCTTTTTTCTTATTTATTTTTTGACTATTTTTAAATTAAAAATTTACTTTTTTATTGCATTTTATTTCATTTTCCTTATTTATTTTTTGATTATGTTTAAGTTAAAGTTAAATTTTTTATTGCATTTTAATTCCTTCTTTTTAAATTAAAATTAACTTTTTTATTGCATTTTCATTCCTCGTTTAAAGTTATAATAAATTTTTTTATTGCATTTTGTTTCCTATGCTATTAGTGAGTTTTATGGCCTATATAATTCACTAATAAAACTATACAAATAAGGAATAGTATCTAAAGCAGTAATAATACCTCCCCAGCAAAAAATAGCCTTGGTTGAATCCTGCTCTGCATGGTATTCAGGGATATCTACAAAGAGCCCAAGTATAAGCAACACGCGCGCGCGCACACACACACACACAAAGACACACATAGAAAGAGAGAAAGCACCTCGGACAATGGAACGCCTCCAGCAGTGACGAATTCGTCCTTGAATTGGCTCTTAATTTACATGCAAGTGCAGGTTTAGTGCAATTAAACAGAAAACGGGAAAATTAATGATAAAAAGGCAATTACGTACTCGTGATTATACCTTCCCTTTGACGCGAAAGGAACAATTTTTAAGACGAGAAGCAATTGATATTAATAAATTGTTGGATATGGAAGCCCACAAAAGATCTTCAACTGCATCCTGTGCAAGAAAAAAATATAGAAATTAAACCAAAATAAAATTACTGATTGAATTCAAATATCACGTCTCGGTTGAGAAAACACCGACCTCATGTTCTAAAATGTATCTCCAGAATCTCTTCACAATCCCGAATTCTGACGGAAATGAATTGGTTATTTTTTGCTTCTGCAATTGGCAAAGAGAGATAAAAAATATATATATATATATATATATTAGATACGAAAAATCTCACAACAGCTAGTGGACTATATTCTCACATCGAGAAGTCACTGTCTATAATGCAGCAAATTTCCGTTTTTGGGGCATTCATTTATTTATCATTTTATACATGAAATTAGACTTTCTTCGTCATTTAAGTAAGATCGAAATTTCTTCTTTTAACCGTCCTTCAAATGGATAACACTTCACAGCTAATAAAGCACGAAGCTAATTGAGAAAACGAAATATAGACGAAAAAGTGAAAAGACGTTACATCAGAACAATTACCGCAAACTTGTTCTTGTGTAGAGTAAGTAACGACTTCACATCTTCTATATGAACATCAGGAACAAAATCCACAATAAGCGAGCCTGGATATTCATTTCAAGTATTATTTAAATGTTATTTAAATGATACTGAAACTGGGAAAAGGGGAAGAAACACGAAGCCATTTTAAATTTTACAACCTTTGTACTCAGAATCTGAGAGCTCGCGTGCTCCCCAAGCAGACAATCGAAGAATAACGGGCCCACTAAATCCCCAGTGTGTTACCAACATCGGCCCAATCTTTTATTCGAAAATCAAGATTACCCTCTTATGCAAATTAAATTAAATTAAATTAAATAGTTGTCTATAAAAAATATCTTGCCTGTGTATGCTCAGGTATGCTTTTCTGTACAGTTTCTAACTTCAATTTTGCTCTCACCTTCGGAAACGTGACCTAAGCACAAACGTAGCGACATATAATAATAAAAAGTTATTACAAGAAATATCCATTCAAGATTTCCATCTTTTAGTTAATTAGAGACAAAGTATTGACACGAGAATTTTTACCCCCGACAATTCTACTAACTGAAAATCATCGATCTTGAAAGTGAACAAACTGGGCACGGGTTTCACAATCGAGTGACCGAGTTGAGTAGCAAGTTTATAACCCTGTCGCAGAGTAAGAATACATGTTAAGGCAGAACGGAATCAAGAAAACACGAGAGTATGTTCAGAATAGGTGAAAGCTAAATATATAACCTGATCGCTACTACCACTAGCAATTATTAAGTAATTAGCTCCAATATGCTCGACATAATCAATCGTGCGTTTTTCGACTTTGACGGAGAATTTGCCACCACTAGTTGTCGACACACTTGTAACAGTTTTCCCAGTCTGCAATACCACTGATAGAAACAAGCAATCAGAATTATTGAAAAAAAAAAAAAGTTTGTTCTAATTTTTTGAAATGACATAAAAGAGATGCTAAATGGACTGCATTAGGAGTAATAATACAGACCCCCTCGATTCTTTGCTTCGGAGATAAGGCAATCTATAATAGTAGATGAACTGTCGCTGACCGGAAATACTCTTCCATCAATTTCAGTCTGAGTAGCAAAGTGAAACTCAACTTAGAAAACACTGTTATCGAACATATAGGTTCAAGAACAGACACATTTAGTTTTAATTGAAAAAAAGAAATTGAGATTAACCTTCAATTCGACTCCACGATCCGAAAACCATGACATGGTATCATTAGGGCCGTGTGTATTGAAAAACGATCCTCGTAATTCCTTATTACCTCTCGGGTATTTTCCTGCCAGAATCTACCCCAAACTGTCAGTATTACAATTTAAAAATGTTCAAGCATTATTCACCAAAATCCTAAACGAGAGCCAACAACTATTAAGCAGAACTGGCAGAATGACTATTAATTTGCTCCGCGTAAATTCGGAAATTTATTTTAACCAATCGAAGGTAAAATAAACGAAACATCGAACACGTTCGATTAACGGCATTACTGCCTAGTGCCTACTAATTGCAAAAGAGAATCTACAAGGCTACTAATTTTTTCGACATGAGATTTCGAAAGGAAGAAAGAACTACGAACAAAAATTTAGAACACCAATAATTTTTTTATTAAAAACAAAATTAATAAATAACATCCATACAATCCAAAATTACGAAAAAACCATACCTTAGTATCACTGCAATGGCCATTCGTCACATTACACCGACCACCACCGGAAATCTTCACCTGCAAAACACAATAATAATAATAAATTAATTAATTAAAAAAAATAAGTATACATATAGCAGAAAAATTTACAAACCTTGGATAGAGGCTTGGCTTTCTCAATGACGACAACATTAAGAAGAGGCGCGATGGTTTTAGCCCTAATCGCTCCGTATATTCCGGCAGCTCCGCCGCCAACCACCAGCAGCGTTTCTTCAGCTGACTGCACACAGAATTCAACAAAAAATCAAAATATAAAATCAGAATCAGTTAATTCGAGAAGAAAAAGGTGTTCACCTTGGTAGATTCAGAGAGTGCAGCAACGCAATATCTTCGCTTGTGGTTTGAGGAAATAAAATAGGCGTAATTTGTGGAGGGAATTGAGATTTTTGAAAGGAATTCCGTTTGGAGGATGAAACGCGGGAATGTTTTCATTGTTTCTAGCTGAAAAAACTGGGAAGTGCAAGAATAGTGATAAAAATGGTGTGAGGGGGTGGTGTTAAAGGAAGTTCATCTTATTCAAAAAATTTAGAATTTCCAGATTAATTTTGAAAATTTTATATTGCTGAAAATAATATGTATATTACCAAAAAAGAAAATCAACAAGAGTTTAATGTGCAACTATGCGGCACGGACGGCAATACAGCGAACGGCATGTTCAAAAAATAGGGACACAATAACTTATATATAAGTTTTTATTTATATATAAATTCTTTTTTATGTATTTTATTTTTTATTCAAACATATCCAAAATGTTTTTTTTTACGAACAACTATAATTTGAACTTATTATTAAATCATGTACATAATTTAGGAAACAACAAAAATATTTGAAAATTTAAATTTTTAGAAATTGCAAAACGGCTCATAAGGTGTCCGGTATGTGTCTTTGAGTTTCCGACACGAAACGTTTTCGAAACGCGAAAACGGTAAGAAGTTGAAGTTTTCGTGCTACATAGTTGTTGTGCAATGCTTATGCGTAACTAAAACGCCTAATTCATAGGTGTTTGATAAAAAAATTTCTATGAATTGATGCAAGCCTTTTATCACCTTTCTCACTTGAAATGATTCTTTTCACAAAGAAATACACCCTCATCTTCTGCAACATAGAACACAATTAACAAAATCATTTACAACCTTAGATGAACAAATTCACTTCCCATTGTACTAACAATAACAAAAAAACAAACCTTCCTATTTTCATTAGAAAAAGAGAAAATTACGAAAAACCCAAAAAATTACACTTGTATAACAATTTCTTTACACAAAAAAAATTAAAAATAATAATAAATAAATAACAACCTCCTTGCTATTGTTGTTTGGATAATAACATAAATAAATGATTGAATAAAAAAAAATCAAGTGCAGAATCCTCAAGGAGGCAGGAATTCATTAGCCGCTGTCGAAAACAAACAAAGATTAATGTTTAATTCACCATCAAACGATATTTATCAAAAAACGAAGGGAAAAAGAAAAAGAAAAAAAGATGTTATGTAAACGAACCTTTTGATGTAGGTGGAACGACGACAACATGCATAGTGGCATTATTGGGAGGTAGAGCCAAACGAAGAGGATAAAGCTTCCCGTTAACGATGTTTCTCGAGCAAACAATGATATCTTCAAGCCCCGTTTCTTCCTCCAACTTTTGAGTCAGCTCCTCCAATCCATGCCCTTTGAACTGAAACGAAGGCTCTTCGATTGCATCGTTGATTTCCCCATCATCGTTCGCCACGTAGTAATATATTAGCCGCCCTTCCGATTTCTTATTTGAATCGTCAAATGAACCACTAGACTGATTGTTTCGAACAAGCCAAAGATTAAAAGTTATTTTAAGCGATAATAAGCTTAATAATCAAATATCTTTTTGCACAAGTATGAGTAGGCGAAAAAAAAATCCCATCTAAAGAATTATCGATACCAACGAAAACGGAAGTGGTTCGTAGTAGTAATCGATGGCGGAAACAGCATGCGAGGGGCCATGACCCCCATTATTTTTCAAGAAGCTACTATTTTATATAGAGAATTTTTATCTTTTGAATAATTTAGTATTGTCAGCCTCCGCCACAGAGATAATAATAAGTACTTCGGTTTATTGCATATATCGGCACCCCGGTGTTTTCTCTAATTGTCAAAAAAAATTCTCATGTTATTTTATTAGCAAAACCCCCCTATAATTCAATTATTATTAGCAAACGCCCCCATAAAACTCCCGATATAGGGGGGCGCACGCTAAAAAAATTCGTTATAAGGGGGTTTTTAATGCTAATATTCATAACACGAGGATTTCTTCAGCCATTCGATATAACACATAGATATTAAGGTGGTGTTTGCAAACGTTTTTTCAAAGTGATTATGAGCTTTTTTTTTGTTCAAAATCAGTTTTTTTTTAAACATTAAAAAGCTCATAAATCACTTTGGAAAAGTGTTTGCAAACACCACCTCAATGCAATAAACTCATAAGCACTTATGGAAGTTAGACTATGTCTATCGAATTAGTCAGACGAAATTTGAACACTAAAAGAATTTGCTAACAAAGGGGGAAAGAAAAAAAAAAAAAAAAAAAAACTAACCCCACGTTTCGGAAAGGGAATACGAAAAGAAGAAGAGTTCAAATCACTCTCCAAAGAATCCGATCGAACAACTTTCGGAGGCGAATCGGGTCGAATCTCAACAATATCAACCTCCCACAAAATCCAATCGCGGTGCCTATGAGGTATATCATGAGTAATAGAGTTTCTCCAAGGGGGCAACCCTCCGTTGGCGCGCAAAAAATTCCCGTATCTACTTTTGAGCTTGACTTGCATGCCGTCTCTGACGGGCTCCCACTCCACCGACGAGTCCAATTTCCTAGGCAAGGCTTGGACGACCCTCCGCCCCGTCACGCCGAGGAGGAATTCCTCGTCGGCGGCTTTGAGGTATTTTCCGTAACGGCTTTTGAGGCGAATTACGTTTTCGACCCCGTCAACGAACTCCACATTCCACCTTGCTGACGTGGACGAGCCGGAACGGTCTTGGACGACCGTTTCTTCGTCGCTCTCGGCCGTTAGGTATTTGTCGTGGTGGCTTTTCAGCCTCACGGTTTTTGCGTCTTTGAAGAACTCCATCCCGGAAACCTGTTATATATCAATCAATTCCGGTCATTCGATCAAATATATGTATACGTGCTGCAAAAGTATGTCATGTTTTGGATCTGATTTTGTACCTGCATTATTATGAATGATTTTGCAATAGAAATTGGGAAAATTTAAAGATTGGCTGGGATATGAAATGGGATCCTGGAGAAAGATTAGAAGATTGTTTTTTTTTTTTTTGGGGATCAAATGATCTTAGATTCTAAGGTGGAGGGTTGATTACTTGATTAGATGAATGTCTAATATTAATTTTTGATTCAATATAATTGTTTAATAATATCAATAGAAAAAAATCTTTTATTTTTTACAAAAATAAAATAGTTATGCTTATATGCATAATAACTTGGGACCCACTTCCCTATTACGAGGTCCACGAGGCACATGTGAACTCAATTTACGAGATGCTGATTGGTAAATCTTTATTATTTATACACATATATTCATATAGGTGTGTGTAACAACTGTAATAAAAATCTATTTGGTGTAACGTTCAACGAACTTAGCATAGAAATAAATATTATATGTGGCTTGTTGTTTCATAAAAAATAATTTAGCGTAAAATTTTGATCATTTGATGCAACATGGGGATATTTAAATAGGTGGGACTGAGCCTTCTTAATTAATTTAATTTGATGCCACAAAGTGGCGTGCCTATCATAAATTTTGAACAATTAAATAACGAATAGAATTTTAATATGAAAAATAATATTTTATTTAAAATAAATATAATATCGGTAATGTGGGCCACTTTATTTATCTGTCTTTATTCAAAATAAAATTGACCCGTGATGCATGTTGACTTTGATTTGGTCATTCATATTCCTTGAACAAACTTAGTCATAATAGAGGTGGACAGGTATTATTAGCAAGAAAATAAATAAAAACATTAAAAAATTTTAGTTTTAATATAACGTTCAATTACGAAAAACCCCTTTTGTTTGCATAATTACACCATCCCTTTCAACTAAGTATTGCCTTACGAAAAAAACTCTTCCGGTTGGTAAATTTAGAGATGTTCATTCGGTACATCAAATTTTCATACATTTTATCGTACAGTTCGTTAAATAACCGAATTATCGAAATTTTATTAATTTTTTTTTAATTTTGTTTAATATTTTGTAGTTTAAATATTAATATTTCATATATATAAATAGGAAATATCGAACCGAATTACTGGTTCAATAATCGGCATGTACCGAATTTTCGTTCAGTTTGGTTCGGTCGGTTTATAACTAACTGGATAAACACCTCTATGTAAATTTAACGATGTAAGGTGAATGTGTAAGGTAATATGTAGTTGATGGGTGACTGTAATTACGCAAACAAGAGAGTTTTTTTCCATTATTTGACTTAAGTTATGGGTGACGGTAATTTGCCCTAATTTTAATATTATTTTACATAAATGAGGTAAGGGGGAGAAAAAAAAAAGAGAGAAAAAAAAGTGTGTACCTGATTCATGGATACACTCCCGGACCTGTTTGAATACTGGACCATGGCCATGGGCGACCCGGTATCCGGTGACCCGGAATCCGGCGAACCCGAATAGTCATCCATGACAGAAGAAAAGCTGGACCGGGGTGAAAAAGAATCCGATTTCGGATCCGGATCCGGATCCGACAACGAAATATCCACAACATCCACACTCCACAGTACCCAGGGCTGGGTCGCCGTCCGGTGCGGCACGTCGTGGGTAACGGAGTTCCTCCACGGCGGCGCTCCGCCGTTGCCTCTCAAGAACTTGCCGGCACACGTCATCAGCTTCAAGCTGAGACCTTCCTTCACCGGCTCCCACTCGATCGCCACGTCATTCTTCCTCTCCGGCATGGTCTGGAGGACCTTCTTCCCAGTCATGCCGAGGAGAAAAGCCTCGTCGGTGGCGGTGAGGTACAGCCCGTGGCAGCTCTTGAGACGGATTCTGTTACGTTTTCCGTCCACGAACTCCACCGACCAACGAGCCCTGTTGGACGCGCCGTTACGGCTCTGACGGACGGTCTCCTCGTCGTCGTCGGCCACCAAGTACTTCCCCAGGTGGCTTTGCAGCCGTACTGCTTTCGCTCTTTCGAAAAATTCCATCCCATCCTGTAATTAAAATAATAATTAAAATAAAATTAAAATAAATAAAAAAGAGTTTATTGCTTTATTACTTATTAGTGCTTGTGTTATATTTAATTGCCAAAAAAGTTTCTCATATGTATAAATTATAATATTAGTTATAAAAAAGAGCAATTTAACAACTCTTAAATGATTAAAAAAAAAGTTAGCTGTTAATTTGCTGAAAAAATAATTAGTGAAGTTTTTTTTTTTTTTTTTTGAAGTTTTTGTTAATACTAATAATAATGAGCATTTCTTAATAATTACAATAAGTACAGGGTGTTAATTGCAAAAACCTCATAAAATATAGTTTTTTTTGGGTTAAATACAAAAACACCCCTGTACTATGGACTTTGTATCATTTACCCCAGTACTACACATAAATACAAAACCCCCCCTCACATTGCACTTTTTTCAAAATATGACGAAAATACCCATACTCAAGCATATATATATATATATATATATATATATATTTAGTTTGACCCATTTTCCACTATATATTTTACCATTTTCAGTCAATTTTACGTTGAAAATTTTAGTATTTATATTTTTTTCTCCAAGACATCTAATTGCTTACATTTTTTTTATTTTCTAAATAAAACCTTTTATTTTTTTTCATTTTGAGTTTCTTCATTTTTTTTTCTTAAATGTCTTCTGGTAGTTCAAACATCCTAAGATTACAAACATCTTTACAATCCTATTATTGTTGAGAATTTGAACTACCGGAAGACATGTAAGAAAAAAATGAAGAAATTCAAAATGACAAAACTAAAAGGTTTTTATTCAGAAAATTAAAAAAAAAAAACCTAAGTAATTAAATTTTTTGACGGAAAAAATAAAAAATAAATAAAAATTTCCCAAGTAAAATTGACCGAAAATGTTAAAAGATATAGTGGAAAATGCCCCAAACAAACCCTTATATTTATAGGTTTAGCATGGGTATTTTTGTCAGATTTTGGAAAAAATATAATAACAGGAGATTTTTTGTATTTATGTGTAGTACATGGGGGTAAATGATACAAAGTCCATAGTACATGGATGTTTTTGTATTTAACTCTTTTTTTTTTTTTGATGAATAAAAATTTAGAGTTGACTTGAACCGAAAATTACCTGTGTTCCGCTATTGAGAGAAGAACGATCGGATAAAATAGACGGCCACCGTTTCTTGGCGGCGATAGGTGATCCCGGCAGCTTCTCCGAAGCTGATAACGCCAGCCTCGGGCTTCCAGACTTGACGGATAACGGCGATTTCGGGTTTGAAATTTCTTCCTGCATAATAGTAATAATAACAATAAATTAATAAAAACTTAATTAATGATAAATTACGAAAAACCCCCTGAACTTAGACTGAATAACAAAAAACACCTCCACCTATTCGTAATTACCAAAAATACCCCGAGATTTGTTTTTCTATTACACCAACCCTTTACAGTGTGATTTTTCACGATTTTTTTTTATTCCAAGGAATAGACTTTACACAAATTTCAGATATCTTCTTTTATTTCTCACATATTCAACAAAATGAATAATAGACTGTACACATTTTCTATTAAAAATACTCCATCAACAGTTAATCAGCAGAAAATTTTGATTATTACACATTATTTAGCATAAGTTCAGGGGTATTTTGTAATCTAACATTAATTAATTAATAATAACAATACATTAATAAGTAGAGTTGACATAGCAATTGAACTGAAAACTACCTGTCTGGCGCTATTGTGAGAAGACCGATCGGGTAAAATAGACGGCCACCGTCTCCGGGCGGCAGCAGGTGATTCTGGCAGCCTCTCCGCCTCCTTCACGGACGCCGCGGCCGTGCTGGAAAACGGCGAATTCGGGCTTGAAATTTCTTCCTGCATAATAATAATATAATAATAAATCAATAAATAAATTAATTAAGGATAAATTACGAAAATCCCCCTAAACTTAGACTAAATAGCGAAAAACACCCTACCTATTCGTAATTTCTTAATATCCCTCTAGGTTTGTTTCCGTATCTTTTTTTTTTCTTCATATTACACCAACCATTTACAGTGTAAATTTTCAAGAATTTTTTTTTTATTCCAGAAAATAGACTTTACACAATTTCAGATATTTTTTTTATTTCTCACATATTTAACAGAAGGTATAATATAGTATGTACACATTTTCTGTTAAAGAAACTCGATCAACGGTTAATTTCAGGGGATTTTGATTATTAAAGATAGGCACGAGTACTTTTCGTTATTTAGCCTACATTCATGGGCATTTTCGTAATTTACCCATTAAGTAGGGTTGACTCAGCAATTGAACTGAAAATTACCTGTCTTCCGCTACTGTGAGAAGACCGATCGGGTAAAATAGACGTCCACCGTCTCCGGGCGGCGGCAGGTGATTCCGGCAGCCTCTCCGCCGCCGCGCCGGAAAACGGCGAATTCGGAGACGAAACATCCTCCTCAAACTGCGAAGAAGAGAAACTTGAAGCATTGCTGGTGGGCGGCAAATACTCATCATCCAGCACAGAAATATCAACCACATCCACATCCCACATAACCCAATCCTGCGTCGCCGTCCGGTGAGGAAGATCGTGGGTGACGGAGTTCCTCCACGGCGGCGTGGCGCCGTTAGCCCTGAGAAACTTACACCCTCTCGTGCGTAGCTTCACTTGGTACCCTTCCTTGATCGGCTCCCACTCGATCGAGGTATCTTTCATCGAATCCGGAATGGTTTGGAGAACCTTCTTTCCGGTCATTCCGAGAAGGTAGGACTCGTCGGAAGCGGTTAGGTAGCGGCCGTGGCAGCTTTTGAGGCGGATGACGTGGGGGTTTCCGGCGACGAGCTCCACCGTCCATCGGGCCTTTCTGGATGAGGCGGCGCTCCGGCTTTGACGGACGGTGGTTTCGTCGTCGTCGGCGATTAGGTACTTGTCCAGGTGGCCTTTCAGCCTTACTGTTTTCGCCTGGTTGAAGAACTCCATGGTTTTTTATCTATCTATCTGGTTTTTAATTTGTGGGAATTAAAAGTTTTTTTTTGGTTTTTTGTTTATTGGAAGTTGTATGTATGGATTTAAAAAAGGGTGCTTAATGTAAGGGCATCTCCAATGGAGTAAGCAAATCGGGTCTCCAAATTTGAATTTGGAGACCCGTATAGAGACCCGATGGAATCTTAGAGTCTCTAAAAAATAAAATCTCACAGTGGAGGGCTCCATAATTTTGAGTTCCTAAACAATGTCCAATGAAATACACATGAGTCTCCAAACGAAGTCCTATATTTAGGAACAAGTTTGGAGATTATGCAAAAATCTAAAAATTTAGAGCCCCACTAAATTTCTTATTGGTGTTGAATTTTCTTCCACAATTTCTATATTTTGAAGCCAAATGGAGTTTGCTTACTCCATTGGAGATGCCCTAAAGGGTTGAGTTTTATTTGATGAGTTGGTAAGATTCTTGGGGGTTTAAAATTGGTTGACTTCTAGGTTTGTTTTTTTTTTTTTTTTTTTAATTTATTGATATTTCGTCTTTGTTACATCTTGTTATGTGCATTTAGTTGATTGGAATCGTAGATCTACATATAATCACACATATACATGTGTATAGTGTGTTTCGTGACTAATTATTTAATTAAATTTACGATTCAAATTCATCCGGTGTAAATAACCAGATGTATCATCTAGCTTCCCTAGATTTTAGTTGATTTGTAGGTTTGATTTTAAATTTTTTTTTATTGACATTTGCTCCTAGGAAATTAGATGAGTTATAGGTGATTATTTATATTTGGTAAATTTGAACAATAAATTTAAATATAATCACAGTTATTCATGTATATGTGTGTTTAGTGGGGAGTTGTTTAATTAAATATACGATACAAATTACACCCGATGTAAATAATTAGATGTCACATCTAACTTCACGTATTTTTAGTATTATCATTTGTTTAAGATTTTAGCATAAATATTATAAAAAATTACTCATTATGTTCCACAATAATTGTCTTTTTTTTAAATTATTTTTGTTCCATATTACCTGTCACTTTACATTTCCAACACTGCATTAATTGTGTAATTATCAATTTTACCCTTATTAACTATCTCCAACACTCTCTCACATTAATTATTGACAAGGGCATTTTAGTATAAAGAACATATATTTTTCTAAAATTAAGCAACATTTATTGAGATCCTTAATCCTTGTGCACAAGCTAAAAACGACAATTATAAAGAAACGGAGGAGCAGTAAACATGCATGAATTTTAGAGAAAATGCATTTAATAAACTAAATATGATAATATGATAATTTTATTTTCTATTAATTAGGAGCATGAGGACATAATGGAGAAAACGATAATAAATATGTCCTTGGAATACTAAAGTGATACGCAATGAAATAGAAAACATCTTGAAAGTGAGTTAATTTGAAACAAATAGTCTTATAAAAGGCAATAAGCAAATAAATTGGTTTGAATTTCCAGAACCTTCTTATATAGAGAGAGAAGATGTTACATCAAACAAACCAAAAGTCATGACATCATTTAGTCTAAATCTTTGTTTAAAATTGCTTGTCAAGCACAAATCCGTTGTAAATTATAAACATTTTTTCGACATTTATATAATAAATTATAGAGTTTTAAATAAAAAAAAGTAAACCATAATAAAGGTATATTTAATAATTAAATAGAAAAACTTGAAATTGTTTTAGAATTTTCAAAGCAATTTATGTGAAGGGAGTTTCAATTTACGGGTAGTAGTTTGAATGTTCTTGTAACACGGCGCGGTTGCTAAATCAACGCTTCTCTTTCAACTATCAATAGAACAAGCGATGTAACTGCGAAAAAATCGATTGATGTAAGGGAGACCTAATCAACGTAGGTATTTCAAACAAGAAACCGTACAACATACCCCATTAAACACGCATACACGTGTGTGTTATTATGTGTAGATCAACGATGAAGAATCACCTGGTGTATATTTAACCGGGCGTAGCTTCTGCAAAACACTTTCTCAAAAAAAAAAAAGCTTCTGCAAAACACAACGTACGGAGTGATATTTCCTTATTCCTAGAAAGACCTACATTATTGAAGTCAACTACTAATAACAAAAATGAAGTCTTTTGGCATTTCTACACGAAACGAAATACAATAAAAATTTGACCATAAAAGAAAAAGATTTATGTGCCGACATACAACGGCGTAAAAAAACAAAATATTGATGTCTTATTATTAAGGATCAAACCATCAAAAACCAGTGGACCAGATTCAGAATTGGGATCTGAAAATTTTTGCATGGTAAAAAAAAACAATCTATTCTCTTACAACACACTAATATTGCATCTCAATAATATATCCCATAAAATATTTGCAATTTTACTCGTCCCTCCCGAATAAATTAAGTAAAAAAAGGCTCACGCAGTTTGCAATTCTTGCTTAGATGCATTTGCTTCTGTTTTTTTCGTGTTGGGAATGTATTTCCAGCAACGCTTGTGGACCCCGCTTATTTTCTTCGGTGCATCTGCAGCTACAGCACCTGCAAATAGCTCGATTACATCAGCGTTTATTCCATATAAAATATAAATAAATCTTTTTTTGCGTTTAATTAAGATTATTCACCTATGTACAAGAAAATTTTATTAGTTTTGAGAATGTTTATTCGGATTAAATATCTCTTCATTCCAGCTGTTTCTAACTCTATTTATTCTAGCTGTCATGTGTGGTCACTGGTCAATTATTAATTGAATTGAAAATAAGCAATAATCGAAGACAAGGTCTCTTCTAAATGTTTCATGCTACGCATACTCACTAGAAAACAAATAACTCGTCAATGAAAATATTATCCGACTCTCAAATTACTACTAACTAGCGGGTTACGTGACATAGAAATACGGCTAAAAAAATTCGAAGATTTTTCACATTGTTCAATAGAGCAATCAAATTAAGCTACTACCTATTTCCCCTGATCTTGCTAAAGGAAAATGGGACCATCCATAACCATGAACATCAAGCATAATATGATTTTCAAGAGTTATCGACTTTATTTTAGTGCTTCAAAGGATATAAATATCATTTCACTAGTTTAGAGGGTTTCTCTAGCCAGTTTTATCGACTCCGTTTTAGTTCTTCAACGATACAATCTATTTTTCACTTTATTAAAATTATTCCTCACAACTTCACCTCAAACATCGAAATTATGAAATATAATGGCTCAACACAGTTATCAAAGGAAACCTATCCTAATCATCGTAGATTATTAACGCATGTATTCATTTATACCGAAAACATTCCCTCATGGCCAAAAAATATTTTTTGCACAAATTAAGGATGCTGATTAGTCTAGAAAACATAAATACAAACTCTACTGTAAAATGGCATTTGTAAGAGAAAAAGAAGATCAATGGAAGCAAATTCCTAAGCAACACTCGTCCAATAAATATCACATGTTAATTACTTTTCACAGCACAAGCTGTCACACACAAGTTCTTCGATCTCGTCACTAACATCTTGAAAAAAATGTTTACTTATATGGCTAACACTAAACTAAGTAAAACAAGAATATCTACAGTACATAAACTCAGGTTGGATCAGTACTTGCAATGTTATAGAAACGAATAAAGAAAAAATAAGAATAACCTTTTCGTTTGTATCTTGAGGGAAATACAAACCGAACGGTATACAGTTATACAGTAGAACCTCGATAAATTAATAACCTCGCTTAAATAATAATTTATTCCGGTCCCGACTCGGTAAAAATCTACTAAATTATTAGTTCGATAATTTAATATTTCACTAAATTAATAGAGTTTTGCTAGTCCCGACTGTATTAATTTACAGAAGTTTAACCGTAAGTAATAACTATCACAATGTTATGAATTTCCGCCCCTTATGAATGAATCAAAATACGATAAAAATAAATATTAACTTGTGTTTTGATGAGAGAAAGAGAGAGAGGAAATCCATTAGTCACACACTTTTCCTCCCCTGTTTTGCTATCCTCTTCGAAACCCTATCGATCATTCTTCTACGAGACCTATTAATTCCAACTTAAATAAACTCCAACAAATCAAATTTTGCAGATTTCAGCTAATACCGTATACTCTTCTCAAAGTGAATAAACAAACAAAAATACGCAGAATCAAAACTTCAATTTCGACATCCCCATTTCATCTTTCCGTGTCAAACGAAACAGCGATTAATTTCAAGTTTCATTTTACTACCACAGTGATGACAGTAAAATCCAATTCACACACACACACACACACACACACACACACACACGAAGGGAAAAGGATTACCATCTTTATGAACAAGGCCCCAAGCCTTCCCATGCCTCCCATCCTACAAAAACCGCATTAAACAAAAAAAATTAAAGCCAAATTACTAATTAACAATTACAATTCCAAAAATGAAAAAATAAAACCCTAATATCCAAACCCTAAGATGCAAAATGTGCAGGTTTAAAATACAGAAGCAATTACTTTGTAGAGATTGATCTTAGTTATCTCATAAGAGACACCGGTCCAGTGAGTTTTCGCCATGTGATATCCAATCCCCCAGTTGGGCAAAAATTGAGCCACCTCGAACAGGTTCTTCTTCTTCTTCCGCTTCGGCTTCTGAACTTCGCCGCCGTCCGCGGCGGCGCTATCGGCGGCGGAATTGTTGATTGGTGCGGCGGTGCTGAGATTGCGTAGGAAGCTGGTGAATGAGCTTCTAAATAGGGCGGAAGTTTCTCCGATCGTGGATTGTGCTCTTCTCGCTAAGAGACCAGTCGCCATTTTTCCAGATTAGTGTGTATCGGCGGTGCTTGATCGGCGCCTGTTTACAGGGGTTTATCGCTCTCTGCTAACCCTATGTGGTGTTGTTCTTCATTTACTTTCTCTCTCTTCAAATCGTATATTTTCTCTCTCTTCAAATCGTAATTAGCATTTTAAAAAAATATTTATATTTTTCCAAAGTGTAAAGGTAATTTCAATTATATTCCAATAAATTGGAAACAAAAAAAAAGTGCAATTTAATTCGGAAATACGAAAAGAAAATTGTTCGATTAATTGGAATTTACGAATTTGTATAGGCCGAACTTAATTTTATTTATAAATCACCTTTAATATATAGACATGATAAAATTAATGTTAAAATTAGGGTTGGGACTACGTTGGTTATCCACTAATTTATTACTGACCACATTTTTAGACAGATAATAATTTTTTAACCAATCCATTAGATTCGAAAATTTCAACCAACCCATCATCTATAATGGGTCGGTTGGTGGTTTCTATGATTATCAAAAGTTGATTGACCGATAATTCCAACTATATTATTAATATTTTATTAACAATTATAAAATAAATGGTGTATTTTCTTAATTACTGTGAATTTCTTAATTATATTTTTTTTTATCAAATTGTTATTTTCTTTAACTGATAAATGATGATCATGCAGTGGCATAATATACATATTTACTCTAAATTTTGATTTTTTTTATAGGTGAATTAGGTTGCGGTATAACCCATCAACCGACTCATTTCGGAATAAAATATTCGGTTGCCAACCATCAATCGACCCATGAAGGTTGGGCCGGCAACAATTCTCAAATTTCACCAAAATTAATTTGTCAGATGAGTCAGTTTTTAGGCTGGTAATTGATCGACCCAACCAAATTTCAGCCCTAGTTACATTTTAGGCTAAGAACTTCTTTTTAATTAAATCTACGAAATTTAAATATTTGGTTCCAATTTAGACTCTTACACAAGTGAGCCTCGTTTTCTTTTTTATACATTTTCTTTTCAACCATTATTTTTCTATCAAGGCCCAAAAGAATTGGAATGACTTTATTGTTGGTCCAACATTCTAAACTCAACCCATTTACTCTATATAAAATTATTTCAAGTAAACCCAACTCTACGAATTTATTTATTTGTCTAATTAATTCAACCAATATATCTTCCGCGATACACGTGATAGTATTTCAAAAAGTTAAAAAAATATTTATCTTGATATACAATAATAAAATATAGTTGTATAATCTTTGTAACGAAAAAAAAAACGTGTAAATTTAATTAGAGATGTACGATTGAAAAATATGAGATTAATCTTGAAAGGATTCTACACGATTTCGTTTGAATTTCGTACTTCTTATTATTAAAACCTAGTAGATAGAAAAAGAGAAAAAATATATAATTACAAAGATACTATTAGGGTTGCCACATCGTTTATTTTATTTTATTTAAAGATTAAATATTATATAAAAATACTTACATATATTATTTAATATTAAATATATATCAGAAAAAACCTTAAGTTTCAACGTCAAATAATTATTATCAATGAATAATTTATTTAATAATAATAATAATAAAAATTGGACAACAAAGTATAATATTCTAATTAATTGTGTTTTTTCTTTTCTTGAATAAATAAATTCTAAGATAAAAGCCTAAAAGTACAATTTTTCAAGAAGTTCTGAATTATAGAACCAACATAGGAAACGGGCACCAACGTCAATATTCATTACTACACACTAAAAACATTATTATATTATTTCTTAAAAGCCTAAAACTAAATTTGACTAACTAATCCAAGTCTTAGGGTAAGACTAATTAATCTATGACTCCTCTCAACAATATATCCGCATTAACAGGAGTACCATTTTTTAAATTCTTTTACCAAGTCCTATATATCTATGCAATCACACGTGTGTCACCCTTTTTTTCTTTTTTTTTTCTTTTTCTTTTTCCCTCTTTTTGATAAATAAAAATGGTAAATTGCAGCCAGCCCCCTGAAGTAATGTCAAATTACGAAGAAAAAATCCCTCATGTATGGGTAATTATACCCATCTCTCAACTATGAATTTTCTTATACGTCTACCATTGTGTCGTCAAATTTAGTGGAATTTTCTAGATTATGTGGAATATTTTCCAATTTGTACCCATTTCACGCATTCGAGCTCGACATTTTGAAACAAGATGATTATAAGATGTATCTCTTGACTTGTACACATCAGACTGTTGTGTATAAGAAACTGTATTTTTTCATAAAACGAGTACAAACTAGAGAAAATTTCACGGAACCTAGAGGATTCTGCTGAATTTGACACCATAAGGATGGATTTGTAAGAAGATTCACAATCCAGAGGGGTAGTTGTAATTACCCAAACATAAGAGATTTTTTCGTAATTTGACATTACCTCAGGGTGTGGCAGTAATTTATCCTAAATAAAAATTTTACATTTTACAAACCCTATCAAATCAAGAATCCTCCCTAATCTCAAAAACTAATCACAACAAACCGCACGTGCGGTTTTCACAAAACACACTAATTACCAACATTTCTACGTCTCGCCCTTTCTTCACACACATGTTATAAATACCCCACCCCCATTTGGAGATTCTTTCATTACTTTTGTGCAAAAAAAAAAAACAAAAAAAAAAAAAAAAAAAAAAAAGAAAAAGAAAAAAAACAGTATATGAAATGATGGTGAAAGGATCAACAACCCCAGCTTGCGCAGCTTGCAAATACCAAAGAAGAAAATGCAGCCCTAAGTGCCCGCTGGCTCCGTATTTTCCGGCCAACCAGCCGAAAACATTCCAATGCGTGCACCGTTTGTTCGGGGTTTCGAACGTGACCAAAACCCTAAGAAGCCTAAAAACCGATATCGAAAAAGACGACGCCATGAAATCCATCATCTTCGAGTCCAAGATGAGGGAGCAATTCCCTGTGGAAGGGTGCACCAGAGTTATCCAAGACCTCCGACTCCAGATTCACTACGCCCTCCAAGAACTCAACCGCGTGCACGCGCAGCTCGCCGCGTGTAGGAACCACCACCTCTGGATGAATGCGCAGCCTTCCGCCGCCGCCGAGGATGATTATTCTTCAACTTGGGTCCCGGCCGGGGGGCCGCCGACCTATTTTGAATCCGGATGGGTTGATCCTCGTGTCTCGGATAGTCACCCTTCTTGGCTTCCCGGGTCGACCCGATTTGATCCCGGGGCGAGCTCGAGCAATGCGCCCCCACCGACGACGACTATGCCGGCTAATAATTACCACTATTTGATGAATGAAAATAGCGGTGGGTTCTATTCCGATAGCGATTTGTCGGGAATCAAAGAAATTCAAGAACAAATGGAGTCGTTCGGTATCCAACAATTCCCGCGTCTAGATCAAGATTCCGACGAATTGGTGATGAAGTCGATGGAGGAGAAACTATCGCAGATTGATCGTGATCATACATACTAGATCATACTAAAGAGAATTTGACTCTCTGTTCCATATTATTCCGTAGCTTTACAATTCCATATTATTCCGTAGCTTTACAATTCCAATGTTGCATTACTTGCATATTTTTTCTATTGTATTTTTATTAATTCTACAACACTATTTTAGTATTAATCAGTAAACAAAGGTATTTTGGTTTATCAATATTTAAATTTATGGTCTAGTGTTTATTTTCCTAAATTCAAAACATATTTAATGGAATTATTACAACTCGTGCCAAGATGATACAACCTATTTAGGAACGAACATTTTTGTATATGTTGAGAATCTTTGTATATTTATATAAGTATTTTGCATTTGATTTCCCTTTAGGTTCCATTTGGATTGAGGGATTTGGGGAGGGATTTGATTTGGGGAATGGATTTGAAATGACTCCAATTTTGGAGTCATTTGAAATCCATCACTATTGCTCCAAAATCAACTAAAAAGGAGGGGTGGGGATTTGAAATCCATCTCCAAATCCCTCAATCCAAACAAGTCCGAGGGATTTGTTATTGTGGATTTCAAATCCCTCCCCCAAATCCCTCCATCCAAATGCACCCTTATATAAGTTGCTGTTTCGATGTATAAAATTGGTATATAGAATAGTAGTTAATTTAATTTAATCATTAGTAATTAATCTATTTTCTTAGCTACATTTTACCTAATTGACATCAATCCTCCTTCATTTATCATTTAATTAGCGAGCACGATACCGTGCCATGAAATCGCTCGAGTTTGAATTGTTTCTATGTCGAATTTTGTCACACAAGGCTAATGTGCAGTGTGGTTTACATTTATTGTATAAGCTATGTATTACGCGAGAATATAGATTTTCTTTATGCACCTATATACACGATAGGATATTCACTCAGTACATCTATATATAGAGTCTTGTTTACGCTACATCTATTGAAATAGGTCGTAAATTTGCACAACTGATTTATACTTATGAATATATGTAAAATATGATTTATACTTATGAATATATGTAAAATATGTATTAATGTATACACATTTGCGGTATAAATATAACTCGATAAAATTGATTATAAATAGCACTTTATTACTTATGCCCGTTTTCCCCTCAACCACCTTAGAAAAAAATTGCACGAGCACGCCAAAACCCGTATTTATTATGCCCTTAACCAATAGAATTTCCCAATTGTGTAACCAAAAAATAGGAAGGGGACAACCATATACATACACCGTTACACACACACACACAAAAAAAAACTAAATAAAAAACTAGCCCCTAATTAATCTGCTTAAACTGCCTTTGACTGACTAATCAAACCAAGTCATAATAGAGTACTAATGAACCTAGTACTCTATACCATGATGACATCTGCATCATTAACGGCTATCATTTTTCAAATTCTTTTACCAAGTCATCTAACCATCCCAACAAACACAAATTACTATTGTATAAAAAAACATTAATAATAAATAAATAAATAAAGATTAAAAAAAATCCCAACAAATCACACGTGTGCGATTTCGAAAGAGATCGTGCCATGACATCGATCATATACGAGGCTAATACAAGGGCGATGTTCCCCGTGCTCGGATGCCACTATGTAGAGAAGCTATACTGCCTTGAACTCGAATACGCATTAGAAGAGCTGCGACACCCGAACAGGAAGCTCGATCAGTGTAGGGCCCACTTGAGCCTTTTTGGGCCGACCCATTTAGAATTTGGGCCTGGTTCGGCCCACCAGAACCAAATTGATGACTCTTCTTTGATTTCTGGTGGGCCGGCCCAGTTAGAATATGGATCGAGCTCGAGCAGTGACGACGTGCCTATGTTAGCTAATAATAATCATTTTTTTGTAGTGATATTAATATAATTTTGGTTTGGATAGCAATTTGACGGCAATTCATGAAGAACAAATGGAGACATTTCGTATCCAACAATTCCCTCACCGTAATCAAGATTTCGAAGAATCGGTGACGAAATTAACCGAGGAGAGATGAGTCAATTGAATCGAGGTGCGTTTTAATTTGATTGATTGATTCCCCTTGTGTAACAATAGCAATTTCAATATTTAAATTTTACAAATTACAAAAATATGCATGAAAATAATTTAATATTTTTTGTTTTCCTATTTCGCCGTGTCCGTACTACATAGGATTGAAGTCATGTCAACTTCAACACGAAAGAAAAGAAAATTAAAACATATTTTATTGTCTTTTAGATATTTATTGTAAAGACTAGTATACTATGTATTATTTGAAATTTTGAAGAGTAATTTACATGCATTATCAGTTTACATATTAGATGTGCCCTATTAGAATATTCAAATATGCATTATCTTATATACTTCGCGAATTATTAATGGGTAAATTACGGTCATCCCATGAGGTAAAATTAAATTACAAAAGGCCCCTTCATGTGTGGATAATTACGGTTTTATCTATCCTACATCCGCTGAAGTTACACCGGGTGATTTTTTACTGTTGATTTCACCCAGTGTAACCTTCAGCGTCTAATACTTAAGTTACACGTCCACTCTTACGGCCGGTGTCAAATAGTTAAGTTACAATCAATCTTGTTTCACAACTAATGAAATCAAGAATCACAACAAAAAAACCGCACGTGCGGTTTTCAGAAAACAAACTAATAACCAACATTTCTACGTCTCTCCCTTTCTGCACACATATATATATTATAAATTATAAATACACCCCCCCTCCCCATTTGGTGATTCTTTTATTTTTATTTTTTCTTATTAAAAAAAAAAAAAGAAGGATTAATTAGCAGTGACGATGAAAGAAGACGGAGCTTGCGGTGCATGCAAGCACCAAAAAAGAAAGTGCACCCCCGGCTGCGCACTCCGGCGCTATTTTCCGGCCAACCAGCCCCCCAGCATATTCCAATGCGTGCACCGTTTGTTCGGCGTTTCGAACGTGACCAAAATCCTACAAAGCCTACAAACCGAAGTCGAGAGAGACGACGCCATGCAGTCCATCATCTTCGAGTCCAAGATGAGGGAGCAATTCCCTGTGGAAGGGTGCACCAGAGTTATCCGAGACCTCCAACTCCAGCTTCACTACGCCCTCCAAGAACTCAACCGCGTGCACGCGCAGCTCGCCGCGTGTAGGAACCTCCGCGGCCACCTCTTCATGAATAATAATGCGCAGCCGCCTTCCGCCGCCGCCGCCGCCGACGTGGGGCCCACCTATTTTGAATCCAGGGTTGACCCTCAATATCTCTCCTCGGAGCATCCACCGTCTACTAATTGGCTTCCCGGGTCGACCCATTTTGAACCCGGGTCGGGCTCGGGCTCTAGCAGTATGCCGCCCCCGCCCCCGCCGCCGCCGCCGCAGGCTAATTATTCGAATTCGGCAATTCAACAACAAATGGGGTCGTCGTTCGGTATCCCGCGTCGTCGAGATCAAGATTTCCAAGAATCGGTTATGAAGTCGACGTTGGACGAGACACTATCGCTGCAGATTGGTTGTGATCGTATCGAAGAGGCATCGTCGTCGTTCGGTATCCAACAATTCCCGCGTCACGATCAAGATTCCGACGAAACCGGTGATGAAGCCGACGAACAAGAAACTGTCGCAGATTGATAGTCGACGTTTGACTTTCATTAATTACGAAATATACCCCTATGTTCCGTAAATTTTTGTTCCATATTATCCGTAGCTTTACAATTTCAATGTTGCATTCTTACTTACATATTTTTCAATTATACATTTATTGACTGTCGAACACTATTTCATTATTAGTTAGTAAACAACGGTATTTTGGTCTATCGTATTTATTTTCCTAAAAACAATACATATTTAACCGGATTTTTTAAATTTGTGGTGCCAATGTGAAACACACCACCTATTTAAGAACGCAAAGAGAGTGTTTAAATTATATTTAAATATAATTATGAGTTTATTTACATTTGTATTCTGGTGGATATTGAATTACCAAAAAACTCAATGTTATAATTATTACCATGCAACCCTAAATGGTTAGTGGTGCCAATAAAAATATTGTTTTTTCTAATGTTCATAATGCAAAAAAAAAATAAAAAAATCAATATACAATAAAACCTAGCTTTTAAATTCGTTTGTAATGAAAAATGGATCAAATATTGCATATAAATAACTGATTTGACGCGATAATTTTCAACAATTCGCCTTTCTTTACGCCCAATTTTATTTATTTATTTATTTCAATTATTTGAACTTTAGAGTGAAAACATTTTGTATATGTTGAGTTCTTTGTATATTTATAGAAGTATTTTGCATTTGATTCCCTTTATATAAGTTAGTGTTTCTAAGTATAAAATCGGTATTGATCGAATAGAAGTTGATTTAATTTAATGATTAGTAATCTATTTTCTTAGCTACATTTTACCTAATTGACATCAATCCTTGTTCATTTATCATTTAATTAGAGTGCATGTGTTGAGGCTAAATACCTAACACGCAAGTGCACGTATCGCAAACAAGTAGTAAAAGTGGACTCGTGAGAGTCGGATGTCGATTCCACAGGGAATACTCAAATTATCTAATCCTAAGTACCAAATTCTAACAATTATGATTTTTATCCAGCCTACGCAAAGTTGTCAAATTTAATCAACTAATTAATTAAACTAATTATGAAAGCAATTAAACACGAGAAAATATCAATAAAAACGGACCTAGGATTTTATCTTCCCCTATGCAAGAATTGATTTGGGCTTAAATAGATGTCCTAACTTGGTAGATGATTTTAGGTTTCCTTGTGTGACTAAAAGTCCAAAATTGTCCCCAACGTGTGTTGGTGCGGCCGCACGAAAATCAGTTCAATTCTCACACGGCCGCGCGAGAATCGCCGAAACCTTCTGTCCAAAATCTGCAATTGGCGCGGCCGTCCCATTTTTAGGTGTAAATCTGGGACGGCCGTCCCGTGCTACTTTCTTCAGATTTTTGATTATTTCACTTTTGGCGCATATTTTCTCCAAAATTACAGTTTTGACCCCAAACTTTTCCAATTCTTTAATTTGTACCTAAAATACAATAAATCAACTTTTTAAGCATCAATTATCGTTAAATCACACCAAAAGCTAAAATAAAAAGATACGATAAAGTGTAAAAATATACACTTAACAGCATGATACCGTGGCATGAAATCGCTCGATTTTGAATTGTTTGCCAATATTTTCTATGTCGAATTTTGTGACACAAGGTTTATGTAGAGTTTTGTTTACATCTATTGTATAAGCTATATATTGTACGAGAAGATAGATTTTTTCAATGCACCTATATAGACGATAGGATGTTCACTCAGCACATCTATATATAGGGTCTTGTTTATGCTACATCCATTGAAATAGGTCGTAAATTTGCACAATGTACCGATTCATACAAAGTCACACACATATACTTACGAATATATGTAAAATATATATTAATGTAGTCAGTGGCGAATCCAGAAATTTAACCAAAAGTGTTCGAAATTGAGTATAATAGAAATATAAATAACACCTAATAAATTGTTAGACTAAAAGTTTAGGGGAATGCACACATAAAATAATACTAGTATGTAAGAAGATCAAAATTAACAAGATCATTTACAAATTTTTCGAGAATTTTGGAAAAAAAAAATTACAAAAATATTGAGAGAAAATGTAATGTAAATGATTTCGTCTAATGTATGAAGGGCAATGTTCCCCGTGCTCGGGTGCCGCTATGTAGAGAAGCTATACCGCTTCGAACACTCGAATGCGCATTAGAAGAGCTGTGACACATGAACATGAAGATCGATCAGTGTAGGGCCCACTTGACCCTTACCGGCCCGACCCATTTAGAATTTGCGTCGGGTTCGGTCTACCAGAACTGTTGAATGACCATCTCAACCAAAAACTTAAGCTTTTAGTGAAATGTATCATTTAATATTAATATTTCCAATACGCCCCCTCAAGTGCAGACGAATTACATTTGAAGCCTTACACTTGAAAATATTTTTTAAATGGGTGGCTGTGGAATTCGAACTCAGGACCTTTCATTTGGTCTGGCTCTGATACCATATTGAATGACCATCTCAACCAAAAGCTTAAGTTTTTAGTGAAATGTATCATTTAATATTAATTTTTCCAATAAGAACCAAATTGATGAGTCTTCTTGGATTTCTGGTGGGCTGCCCAGTTCGAATACGGATCGAGATTGAGCAGTACTGACGACAATTCAAGAACAAATGGAGACATTTGGTACCAACAATTCTTTAACCGTAATCAAGATTTTGAAGAATGTAACGGAGGAGAGACGATCGCGTTTTGAAAATAAAGAAGTGTCGATTCAATCGGGGTGCGTCTTAATTATTTGATTGATTCCCCTCGTGTAAGAATACCAATTTCAATATTTAAATTTTATAAATTAAAAAAAAAATGCATGAAAATAATTTAATATTTTTTGTTTGCCTGACAGCTCGGACACAATACACCTGCCGGAGAGAGCTACAAAATGTTGCCGGAGGTTTCAGGATCACTAGTGTCAATTAGAATGGCTTAGACCTTTCCTAGGCAATGCACCTCACTTAGATAAGGTCTATTTACGAAAACTCCCCTCATTTTGATGAAATTACATCCACCTCTAGCAATTTGAAAAGTTCTTACATTAACACCCTTCTGTAGGGAAACTGCAAGGACTGAATGTAATTTCTCAAAAATAATGGAGGTTTTCGTAATTACATTTTACCTTAGGGAGGTAATTGTAATTTACCCTATTATTATGTTCAATTTCATTTATTTATTTATTTATGGTGTTGTTTTGACCCCCTCATTTGTTTATAATCTATATATTTATGAAAAATGGAGTTTCCATGTGTCCGTTTCTATGTTTTCTCGTGTCCGTGCTACATAGAAATATTGAAGTCATGTCAACTTCAACACGAAAGAAAAGAAAATTATAAACATATTTTACTGTCTTTTAGATATTTATTGTAAAAGTACTATACTAGAAGAGTAATTTATATGCATTATTAATTTATATATTATATGGGTCCTATTAGAATATTCAAATATGCATTATTTTATAAACTTAGCAAATTATTAATGGGTAAATTACAGTCATCCCATGAGAAAGTTAAATTACGAAAAAACCATGATTAGGTAATTAATTACAACCACTCTCTTTAACTATGAATCTATTTACACTTCCACCCTTATGGCGTCAAATACAACATACTCTTCTAAATTCCATGAAACGTTTTCTAGTTTGTACTCGTTTTACGAGAAAATACAGTTTGATCTTATGCAAATATTCAAATACGCATTATCTTACGAACTTCGCGAATCATTGATGGATAAATTACGGTCATCCCATAAGGTAAAATTAAATTACGAAAAATCTCTTCATGTTTGGATAATTACAACAACTCCTTTTATCTACGAATATTCTTACACGTCCACTCTTATGGTGTCAAATACTTACTATCAATCTTGTTTCTTAATGCATCACAATTTGATCTTACAATCAATCTTGTTTCACAACTAATGAAATCAAGAATCACAACAAACAAACCGCACGTGCGATATCCAACAATTCCTCCCTAACGATCAAGATTCCGACGAAACCGGTAATGAAGTCGACAAACAGATTGATCGTCATCATACCAACGAGCCTTTTGACTCGAGTTATATTCTTTCATTAATTACGAAATATACCCCTCTGTTCCGTAAATTTTTTGTTCCATATTATCCGTAGCTTTAGAGTGACTGCTGCAGAAGGACCCGGATCACCACTTCCTAAAGAGGAAATCAAGTCCTCAGTAATAGGCTGCCACCAAGGATGGTTGATGGGCTCGCGAGGGTCTCCCTTCCAAAGAGGCAGCGTCCTGTTTATCTTACCCAGAACGGCGGTGGGCTCATAGCGAATAGGAGTGTTCGCCTCCTCGGCTATGGCCTCGCAGGCACCTATGGTCTGCTTAACATAGTACATACCGATCGGGCAAGCATCCTTCAGAAACAGCTTAGTATGGGGGTACCGCTCGAATAACTTGACCCGGTACCGGTCAAGAATGGTCAAACCTTCAGCGGTAGCAAGGAGCTCCCCCAACTTCTTCGTCCGCTCGGAGGCCAGACGACAATCCAGCTCGTTCTGAATCTCCGCTCCCGGGATTCCATACGCTGCATGGTGGGGGCTAGTTCTTCCTCTGCCCGCACGGCTCGACCCTCCAAAACGCTACGAGTCTCGCACAGTTTGGACTGCATGTCCTCGAGCTTCTCCTCGGCAACCTCACACTGACGGAGCAAAGTACCGTTCTCGGTCATAAGGGTGTAGATACGCGAAGTAGCCCGTTCGAGGGCCGTACGAGCATTGGCGGCCTGCTCATTCAGCTCCTGGAGAGCAAGGTCTCGAGCGGAGGGATCTTCCTTGCCAAAGCCCATGGCTAGAATGGAACTCGCCTGCAAAGAAAGAATGGGTGTTAGTGTAAACCCACGTCAATTGGACAAATTGACGAATGACCGAAGAGTCGCATACCTGCGCCAAACACAGAGCCAACTTAGCTCGCTGAGAGGAATGGGGAAGGGACTGAAGGAAAGCTGCGTCCCAAGGGGCCTGAGCCTTGGACAGTTGGTGGAGCACGAGGTCTGCCAAACCCTCGAGGTCCGAGGAGGTGAATAAGCTGGGCAACTCTAGGCGAGCCCTTTTCGGGGGGGGAGTAGAACCACTCAGAGCGAGACGCTTGGAGCTTGTCTCGGCGGACTCTCCTTGAGCCTCCTCAAGTCCGGGATCTCCACTCGGAAGTATAGCTAGGTCCCGGACCTCGGTCTCGCTATCTAGAAGCTCTATGATAGCCTCAAGACCGAGAAGAGGTAGGCCAGAAGAGGGAGACAGAGGGTGCAAGGGAGAATTGGAGCTATGTGAAGGGAGCTCGGGCCCACGGGAGGAAACCTCGGGTGCGACCTCAGCTGCAGCCGTCGGGCTCGAAGCCCCTGCATCTTTCTTCTCTGCCTCGGCCAGCTCCAAAAGCATATCGATCATCATCTCAGCTGAAAAAGCACACCAACAAAAAAACAAAAAAAAACACACAACCGCCGAGCGGCATCTGACCCCGGACGGGAAAAAAGAAAAGAGTAGGTATACCCCAAGGGCGACGATCAAAGGAAGGGATCTGCCACAAGCCGGCACGGGAAAAGAGGGGAAGACTGCTAATAATTTTCTCAACGTTCCAAGCGCGGGGGCGAACGCGAGCCAGTAGGCCAGCGATCTCATCCTCGAAGTTCATGCTGAGGGTAGCGCGCTTGGGAGATTTAGGAGGGGGAGAGAAGTCAAAAGGCCAAGCTGAGGGCGGGCGAACGAATAAAAATCGGTGTTGCCAGGAATCAATCTTCGTAACCAGCCCGGCAAAAAGACGACCTATTCGCGAGGACAAATGATAATAGCCGGAGGAGGACCGGTTGTGGGTAAAGATAGTGAAAAATAATTTTGGCCGGGGGTCTACGCCGGTACTGACGCAGACTATGTAGAAACACGACATGAATTTTATGGCATTAGGGTGGAAAAGTTGGAGGGGAATCTTATATAGGCTGCCTACATCAACGAAAAAAGGGTGCAGAGGAAGGGTAAGGCCGGCTTTGAATTGATCCAGGTACCAGGTGAGGTAGCCCGGAGGGGGACTAGAAGGAGATTGGGAACGTGAGGGGACCAAAAGGTGGAAGGAAGCATCCACGCCCTGGGTGGCGTAGAGGGCTTCGATGTCAAATTTGTCCACCAGAGAGTGGGTGGGTTTCTCTATGGATTTCTTTTTGCTAGGTTGAGGAGAAGAAGAGGAAGGAACTGCCTCCTTCTTCAGGCTCGTACGCCGTCCGCCCCGGCGAGTAGACCGCACGGGAGCAGGGACGGGGTCAGTCCTTCCCGAAGAAGAAGTAGAAGTGCCTTGGGAAACCATTGGCGAAGGCGAAGAAAGCGGGAAAACAAATAACAGAGAAGAAAGGGAAAACAGAAAGTACCTGGGGAATAGAGGGCACACTAGCAATAAGGGAATGTTAGGAAAATAAAGAAGGTATGAGGAAGGAGAGAAATAGCAGGAAAGGGGGGCTTTAAATCTAGAATGCGGGCCCAACGACAATCGAAAAGACACCCGTCATTAAGGGGCACAAGAAACGAAGAGCCCCCGCAGGAATTGACGGCTGCATAGGGAAGCGCGCCAGACAGGAAAACGAAACGACCAGATGGGGCAGATGAAAGGACGTGCGGCGGGCGCGAGGAGGCGAAGAACTCCGAGCCCTAAAAATATAGGCTCGCGCGGAGATATAGGACTCGGAGTGGGGGACTAGTTGATACGGATCGGGGCCAGAATTGCAAAGCCCAAGTACGCCAGCCCACTAAAATGGTCCAGGAATCGCCTAGCTGGCCCATATAGAAAGGAGAGGCCCAAGGAAGAATGTAGAGCCCAAGAAAGAGGGAGAGATTGGGCCAGCACGAGGACTCGCCGGGTAAGAGTTATCCATAGTTCCCGACCATGGAGAGGGAGGTCGGGAAAAAGAGGAATTAAATGCCCTGACAAGCTTGGCCAGGCGCCCATTAAATGCTCTTGTCAGAGCATTTAATGAGCGAATGACTATGTGCGGCTGGGGAGTACATGAGACAGGCCTGCGAGTATCATAACCCCTAGAAAATAGGATGTCATGATGGTCCGGGCCGACTGGCCGAAAGGTGAATATCCCGCCAAAGTAGGCCTTTTGTGACGCCCGCCTTTTATGAAGCGTTTGTCAAATTACTCTATGAATTTACGTGGTCTATTTTTTTTTCTTGAATAATACTAATCAAACTATAGTTCACAAAAATACGTACGATTTATTTATCAACAACTTTACTTCTAGCAAGGTAAAGTACAAAGGTTCCGGACATTTACAACAGCAGCTTCTAGCTTATGAGATTACAATACTATTAACATAAATAAGTTCAAACGCTGATATTTATAATACAAGCTGATATTTATAATACAAGACAGCGATTATTCTTAACTTAATCGAACCACTATTTTACAAATATAAACAAGGGAACTACTCGGACGGGAAATCCTCTGACAGAATAAAGTAGAGGGATAAGTCATAGAAGACTTAGTGAGGTGAAATATAAGAATAACGAGTGACGACATGATCTGAGAGAAAGTTCAATGATCGAACCATTAGGTGATATCGGAAATAGAAGCATTTAACGGTTATATTTCGATTGGAAATTCAAGAATAATAGTAAGAATGATCAATCGATTTTCCGATCAATAGAGATAAGAATACACCTACCTTGTGACTCCCGTAGCCGTTTGCTACCTTATTCACCGAGCAGGGAATGACCCTGTAATGCAATGTGGCATGCCCGGGCGCATGCCGGTTTAGCCCGAAACCCAACTAACCTCCAGTTGTGTACGGGTCTAAACTATGTGGGTACTGTTGGAGAGACTACCCACCGTCGGCCCGATACCGCCCAACGGTCACCTCCAAACAGCCCCGGGCCCATCAATATCCATTGTCCTTGAGGCGTCCCAAAAGGACTTTATCGATCATATAAGAAGACCATATTATTTGATTATATATATTAGGATTTCAAGGATAATAGAAATTCGAAGAAATGGGATCAAGTGAAAGGCTTCAAAGAGGGCTCGATGTTTCAAGATATGAAGTTTAGATAATTGAATAAAACTTGAAGGAAACGATCGGCTTCAAAGAATTTCATACCGATCACTCAATAAGTACTATTCGAAGGAAATGGAAATCAAAGAGTTAAACACTCGATACGATAGCATTTCTCAAATAATCTCAAGCTCAACATCATCCAATCAATTTCAAATAACGATAATCAAATGACAACGAGTAGATCAATTCAATGAAAGGGAGCAAAATTCAAGTACTCGAGAGCGATACAATTACCCGAGTTTATCATATTCCCAGAAGAGGTCAAGCAAGAGAACCCTCACCTTGGTCCAATCAAGAGTACTCGTCGATCACGGTTCCTCGATCTCAAAACCTAAGCAATATTTAAACTATAAGACACCAAATTATTTATTAAAATGAAATAATATACACTACGTTTCCTAGCTTTATATGTTCTTAAGGCCGAATAATTTACTTACCAATTCTAAATTAATCTAACCCCGTAACTAACATCTATACTTACCACATAACCATCACGTTTATGTTACCAGGACGAAGACCAATAAAATTTGTTCATATATGACGACTTTCTTAACATAATAATAAAACGTATGTGCTGCCACAGTTTATTCAAAAATTCGTAACAAATTCCACGTTTATCCAAATTGCTCACATGATATACCAAATGAAAGCTAATAAATAATACTACGAGTTCACAGAAGACTTCGACCTCTGATTCTGAACCAAAAATAGCAGACTTTCCAAAAACCAGCCTATAACAGAACTGTCGAACATTGAAAATTCATTTCTGGTACAACTTATTTGAAAATTAATAACATGCTATACATATCTCGAAACAGAACAAATGATATACCAAATTAAAACCAAGAACAATATCTAAGAGTTTAATGAAGAAACCATTTTCAAATTATGAGCATAACATAGTTGAAACAGCCCCCGAAAAGGTTAATAAAAACTGCCGGCATTTACCAAAATCCTTTTTCTGGCAGTATTTTTGAAAACTCGTAATAATTCGAAATGTTATCCAAATGTAACAAATCATATATCAAATCGAACGTAACAACTTCATCTACAAATGAACAGAAGACATAGAACTCAAATTATGGCTCGAATATACAGAAAACAGCCCGAAAAGAATAATTATACGAGCTGCCAGAATTGACAGCTTCAATGCCCATATTCCTCCGTCCAAAAAAACCTATAGAACTCAATCATATTGAACGAGACTCCAGAAAATCTATGATGTTTCAGAAGAAATGATTTTAAAATTCGAATTCCAAAGCTCCCAAATTGTGTTCCGAAAATCAGAGTAACAACTAAAGTTATATTTTCGAAACTCCTTTTTGAAGCGACTGTATAATTAAAAATCAAATCAGTTCCAAAAAGGATTCTAAAAATTGGGGAAAATCAATCATTCGAACAATATTCAACCTATTCTACAATTTTGGTCAAGAAATAAATCCGAAATTTCAATTCTAAATACCTCTAATTAAATCCGAAAGGTTTTAGGATCAGCTGAACTTCGCCGTCGGATCACAATTATCACCACCGGAGAAACAAGCCGGAAACTTCCACCAAAACGAAGCTTATACAGAGGGCTTTCGAGCCCTATACCCCGCTCGCCAAAACTCCGCTGGAAAGATCGTCAAGTCACCATCTTTGTCTCCGTCGATTAAACCCTGGCTGCCTCGTTTTTTTTCTTGACTTCTCTCTATGGTTTGTGATAGAAGATATTTCTTGGGATTATGGGGAGGTTTTTCTTACTGAGATTAAGTGGAAGATGGTGTGGAATTTATACGCAGAAGGGTTTTTTTTAAAGAAGATTGATGATCGGATGAAGATGAAGAAAGAAGACGACTCAACACTTCTCTACGTGTCTCTTCCCTAAAATTCTAATTAACCTCATAATTATCCGATAATTACAACACGTCAGATTCTTACTTCTCAAGTTTCTAATATATGGAATTATTATCTGGAGTAAACTGCAAAAACTACCCCTGTGTAATCCCAAAATAGCAAAAACCCCCCTGTGATAAATAAACTAGCAAAAACCCCCCCTGTGAAATTATTTAAATAGCAAAAACCCCCCTATGGAACTATTTGAGGGTTGACTTGATATAAAAAGACACAAATACCCCTGGAGTCTTGCAATTAATAAATTCTTATATTTTATAAATATTTTAATTATTTTATTTAAAAAATAATCAATTTAGTTGTTTACTATTTTTTTTAATTTCTAAACAAATAAATTAAAAAGAATAAATATACATATAATATGTATATATATAAATACATTTTGAGGGTCAATTTTGTCATTTCAAGTCTAAAAAATCAGCTAGGGGGGATTCGGCCTTTGACTAAATTTCACAGGGGGGTTTTTGCTAGTTTATTTATCACAGGGGGGTTTTTGCTATTTCGAGATAACACATGGGTAGTTTTTGCAGTTTACTCTTATTATCTGCCCTAACTATCATAATACCATATCAGCCCCTTTAAATTACTTTATTTACTCTTTTTTTTCCCAACTATTTTTAACAATAACATCTAAACCATATAATTTCACTATATTACTATATTACCATCATTAATGAATAAACTTCAATAATATACATGTATAAACTATTATTATAGCACATAATAAAAATTGAGGGGTGTTACACCTTTGCACCAGAGCCCGAGGGGGCGGAGAGCCTTCCCGCCAAACATTATAAAAGCCCCAGGAATCCAAGCAGAAAAGGCGGTTTTTTCTGGGTATCCTAAGTTCTAAAGAAAAATATACATATCCATACATAATATATCATACAAAGCATCGTGGTACTGACTTGATCGTCGGAGTGCTAACTCCGGCATCAGTCCGGTTTTCCTTTCTCTGCAGATCCTCTATTACAGCAGGAAAGGCAGCGCACCAGCCACGTTGTTTCTGGAACCGATCAATTGGCGCCATCTGTGGGAAACTCGTGACAAAAAGCACGCTCAACTGTTATACCAACTCCTTTCATGACGTCGACACCGGAGGTAGCTCGTAACTTATCCAGCTTACTGGAGGGGGAGGTAACTCCCCCCCCAGACCTCACGAACAATCAGGAAACCACACCGGGCGGGCTGCCGGAGGAGCCCACCCCGGGCGTCGCCAGTTCTACATTGGAGAAAGCAAGTACCACTATAACCCTCACAGTGGAGCACCTCCAGGCGTTGATCTCGGCCGCAGCCCAGGGTAAACCCCCCGAGGGCGGAGGGGGAGGCATCATGGAAAAACGGAAGTCAGAGTCGCAACCCGGGATGTCGACGATAGACGACGAGCTCCTAATGCTGCCGTCAACTGAAAGTGAAGGAATGGTGGGCACCCCCTTCACGGCAAGGCTGCAGCACGGGGAATTGCCAGCCACCTATCGACCCGTCACATATGAATATACCGGGGCCACCGACCCCTGGGAGCACGTGTCTCGATTTGTCACGTCCGCTTCTCTTCACAGACTAACGGACGGGGTGAAGTGCAGGGTCTTCGCAACTACCCTAGCAGGTCCCGCGCAAAGATGGTTCAGCCAGTTACCCCGATGCTCAGTCGACGGCTTTACCCAGTTTAGTGAGTTGTTCTTAAACCACTTCGCGAGCTCCAAGAAGCAGAAAAGGAGCACGCTCACCCTGTTCGCGGTACGGCAAAGGGAGGGCGAGCCGTTGAGAAACTACGTGCAAAGATTTAATGCAGCCACCCTTGAAGTGCCTGTCACTAGTGAAGAGGTGCTCATCAACGCGCTAGCCCAGGGTCTACAAATGGGAGAGTTCTTCGACTCCCTTTCCAAGAAGGCACCGGCCTCTTTCAATGACTTGCTCCAGAGAGCCGAAAAGTATATCAACGCAGAGGAGGCCCGCCGGAGCCGGACCTCGGAGCCAGCCCCGACGAATGACAAACGCAGGGATAAGAATCGAGTGGAAATAAAGAAGCAAGAGCCCTTCCCTCGCAGAGAATTGGGCACAGAGCGACGAACGGGACCCCGATTCGAAAAATATGCACCCTTGAGTACCGCCCCCTCGGAGATCCTGACGGCCATCGTAAATCATCCAAAACTGAAGTGGCCGCGCACCTATTCGGAAGTACCAAAAAAGCCTGCCAGTGCCGGACCTTATTGCCGTTTCCACAATGAGCATGGGCACTCCACCGACGATATCAACATTTGAGGGATGAAATCGAAAGGCTCATCAGGATAAAGAATCTTTCGGAGTTCGTCGAGAGCAGTCCGGGAGCCACTGCCAAGTACCCGCGGAAAGGGGGAAACGGCGGTGCACAAGCTCCCAACAGGCAGGGAAAAGACGCTGATCTTCAGCCTCCAAACAATTACATTCACACCATCTTTGGGGGCCCCGCGGGGGGGGGGGGAAGGGGGGTGGGGGGGATTCCAATAGGTCCCGCAGGGCCCACCTGCGAGAACTACAGGAGTTAAGAGGAGAGCTCGCGATGATGTACAGGGTATCCGTTGCCCCGCCTATCACCTTTGGGGTGGAAGATGAGACAGGGATACAACAGCCGCATAATGATGCCCTAGTAATCACGGCCATGGTAGCAAACTACGACGTGACAAGGATACTGGTCGACACGGGTAGTTCAGCTGATATATTATATTACGAATGCTTTATGCAAATGCGGCTGAACTTCGAGGTAAGGAGAGTGGATACGACCCTTATAGGATTTGCCGGGGAGGTGGTGCAGCCGATGGGCGAGGTAACCCTGCCGGTATCGCTAGGAACCGATCCCTTAAAGGCAACATGAGCGGTAAGATTTCTAATTATCGACGCCCCGTCCACCTACAACATGATAATGGGACGGCCCTCGATGAATGCATTTGAGGCCGTCGTGTCCACATTCCATATGAAGATGAAGTTCCCAGTCCTTGATCGAGTTGGGGAGGTTCGTGGAGACCAGGAGACGTCCAGGACATGCTACAACCAGGCCCTCAGAGGGCAACGGCGCATTAACCCTGTGGGCTAGGATAAAAGGAACCCGAGACCGGGGAGCGATAACATCGGGAGAACGGAGGAAAAAAGGCCCCGGCTAGACCCGGAAGAAAAGGAGAAGGCCATGTCCAACCAATGGAGGAACTAAAAGTGATTCAGCTAGACGTGAATGACCCCACCCGGACTACCAGGATAGGAACCACGTTGAACGAGGAAATGAGGGAGGAATTAACAACCTTTTTACGCAACAATCAGGACGTATTCGCATGGTCCCCTAAGGACCTGAGGGGAATCGACCCCGCGGTGGTGGTCCATGAACTGAACCTGAGGCCGGGAGCAAGCCCGGTCAAGCAGAAGAGAAGGCATTTCGGGCCAGAAAAAGATAAAATCATCGAGGAGGAAGTACGGAAGCTGCTAGAGGCCGGGCATATCAGAGAAATAAAGTTCCCGACTTGGCTGTCCAACGCGGTGCTTGTCAAAAAAACGGAAGGAAAATGGAGAATGTGCATAGATTTCAGGGGTCTAAACCAGGCTTGCCCCAAGGATCATTACCCGCTCCCGCGGATTGACCAATTGGTAGATTCCACGGCGGGATGCACAATGTTGAGTATGATGGATGCCTCGCAGGGCTACCACCAGATATGACTGAATGAGGGAGACCAGCCGAATATAAGTTTTGTTACATCCACATGAACATATTGTTATGTCGTGATGCCGTTTGGCCTCAAGAATGCCGGAGAAACTTATCAGAGGCTAGTGGATAGAATGTTCCGCGGACAGTTAGGACGGAACATGGAGGTGTATGTGGATGACATGCTAGTCAAGAGTGAAGAGGCCGGGAATCATATCAAAGATCTGAGAGAAACATTCAGCACACTCCGAAGGTACGGCATGAAGCTTAACCCACTCAAATGCGCCTTCAGGGTAGAGGCAGGAAAGTTCTTAGGCTATATGGTAACTAAGAAGGGAGTCGAGGCGAACCCGGAGAAAAGACACGCGGTGATGGATATGCGTCTGCCCCGGAGCATAAATGAGGTACAGATGCTAGCAGGAAGAATCACTGCGCTAAGTCGTTTTATATCTCGGGCTGCCGACACGAGCTACCCGTTTTTCAAGATCTTGCGGAAATGACACCTATTTGAATGGGGCCCCGAGGCCGATCGCGCTTTCGAACAGCTAAAGGAGACGCTGGCCCGTTTTCCCCTACTCGCGAAACCAAAAGTAGGGGAGAAACTTTATGTGTACTTAGCCGCCGGGGAGCAAGCTGTAAGCGAGGTACTCTTAAGCGAACGCGAGGGAGTACAGCGTCCTATCTATTACGTGAGCCGAATGCTCAAGGGTGCCCAAAGAAGGTACGCAGAGATTGAGAAGATGGGGCTGGCCCTTGTTCTTACCGCTCGGAAGTTAAGACCGTACTTCCTGTCACATTCGATAGTAGTAAGAACCAATTTCCCTTTAAAGAAAACGTTGGGCCGGATGGATGTGTCAGGCCGGATGGTTAAATGGGCGGTGGAGTTAGGCCAGTTTGATATTGAGTACGAGCCCCGCACGGCCATTAAGGGGCAGGCCCTAGCCGAGTTCTTGCAAGAAACAATACAAAGAGAGCAGGAAGCCGAGTGGAAGGCCTTTATAGATGGGTCATCGAACCAGGCCGGAAGTAGAGCGCGGATCATGCTGGTAAGCCCCACGGGTGAAGAATATGAGTACGCAGTCAGGTTGACCTTTCGGGCCTCAAATAACGAGGCGGAGTATGAAGCCCTGATATATGCCCTCCAGCTAGCCGCGGAAGCAGGGGCGAACTGCCTAGAGGTATATTCAGACTCCCAGCTGGTGGTCCAGCAGATGAAAGGGATATTCGAGACGAAAGACGAAAGGATGGGAGACTATTGCGACAAAGTGAGGAAACTGTCCGCTGGTTTTCGTAGGATAACCCTCGAACAAATCCCGAGAAGCGAGAATGAGAGGGCCGACTTCTTGGCTAGGGTCGGAAGCTTATCTACCGAATGCGAGAGCAGGAAAATAACTATCCTCCAGGGTCATCCCCAGAAATGCGAGGAGGTGGCCGTCGCGAGCGCGGCAGATGATCGGCGCACCGATATTATCCGATGTCTCGGAGGGTACGAGCTGCCTTGCCGACGCGAGCAGAACAAGTTGGTGGCAAGAAGTAGAGGTTTTTGTTTAGATCGGGGTTTATTATACAAGAGGGGATTCACAAGACCCCACTTAAAATGTCTAAGCAGAGCAGAGGGAGTACGCGCGATCAGAGAGGTGCACGAAGGCTGCTGCGGAGACCATGCAGGGGGAAGAATGCTAGCCATGCGGCTGTTGAGGGCGGGGTATTTCTGGCCCACCATGCGGAAGGATTCGATTCAGTTTGTTAAAGCCTGTGATAAATGTCAGAGGTATGGACCTCGGATACACATGCCGGGAGAAGAGATGACTATAATGGACGCCCCTCGCCCCTTCCTGCGATGGGGGATAGACATCGTCGGGCCATTGCCAATAGCAACCGGGCAAATGAAGTTTTTGGTAGTCACCATTGACTACTTCTCCAAGTGGGTTGAAGCGGAGGCCGTGGCAAGAATCACGGACACAGAAATCATGAGATTTATCTGGCAAAATATATGTTGTCGGTATGGAATACCGATGGACCTCGTCTCGGATAACGGCACCCAATTCAATTCAGCAAGGATAACAAGATGGTGCAGCGGCCTGGGGATAGGTCAAAGATTCGCAGCAGTGGCCCATCCGCAAGCGAATGGGCAAGTGGAGGTAATAAACAGGATTCTGATGGAAGGCATCAAAAAGCGATTAGAGAAGTCGAAAGGCAATTGGGTAGAGGAGCTGCACTCTGTCATATGGGCACACCGAACGTCGCCCAAAGAAGCAACAGGAGAAACCCCGTTCGCTCTAGTTCATGGCTCAGAGGCGGTGATACCACTTGAGATCGGCATCCCGTCCAGTCGAATGCGGGAGCACAGCGACACCAGAAATGACGAGGGGTTGAGAATGGAGTTGGATTTGATCATGGAAAGAAGGGAACAAGCCGTGGTCCGGATGGAAGCTAACAAGGAAAGAATCAAGAATGCGTACGACAAAAAAGTAAGGAAAAGACTATTCCAAGTAGGAGATCTGGTGCTTAAACAAGCAGATGCCTTGAAAGCCGTAGGGAAGATGGAACCCAACTGGGAAGGGCCATACATAATAAAAAAGGTGCTGAAAGGGGGGGCATACGAGTTGGCAAACGAAGAAGAAATGAAGCTTCCACGACCATGGAATATAGGACATCTTAAAAAATACTTCACGTGAAGTACCGACTTACTTCTGTTTTTGAAAAATGTGCTAAGATGCGAAGACATCGGTAGCCTAGGCTTTTGTAAACCACGGGTATAAGAAAAACCCCTGTCTGTTTTTGTCTCTTAGAAAAGGTGTTCATCAAGCTCTCCCCACCAGGGTGGGAGCCCGAGTACTTACGATTTTAGCGAACTTAAGTTCTGCCAAAATCGTAACCGAGGACCTTTGAAAACACTCGCCGAGCTCGAGCTCCGAGTAGGATGAAACGAAGAAATAAAACTTGTAAACACAAGTACTTACGATTTTAGCGAACTTAAGTTCCGCCAAAATCGTAATCGAGGACCTTTGAAAACACTCGACGAGCTCGAGCTCCGAGTAGAATGAAACGAAGAAATAAAACTTGTAAACACAAGTACTTACGATTTTAGCGAACTTAAGTTCCGCCAAAATCGTAACCGAGGACCTTTGAAAAACACTCGAAGAGCTCGAGCTCCGAGTAGAATCAAATGAAAGAATACAAATTAAGTGTTTACGACCCTGACGAGCTCAAGTTCCGTCAGAACCGTAACCAAAGGCCCCTAAAATACCCGACGAGCTCACCAGCCGAGTGGGGTAGAATGCAGGAATAAAACTTGCAAAAGAGGATAAATAAAAACGAGCATCTCTGTTAGAACTTAGGCTTATCATGAGACATAGAGAGGTAGATCAATAAATAAAAACAAAGCGACAAAAGCAACCGTAAGACATATCAAAAAGATAGTTAAAATTCCAGGGATTTTACAAAAACAAAAACAAAGAAGGAACACGTCCTTACAAAAAAAAAAAAAAAAAAGAGAAAAAGAAAAAGTCCTTAGTAATAGGCTGGAGCTGAGGAATGACTGACTGCTGCAGAAGGACCCGGATCACCACTTCCTAAAGAGGAAATCAAGTCCTCAGTAATAGGCTGCCACCAAGGATGGTTGATGGGCTCGCGAGGGTCTCCCTTCCAAAGAGGCAGCGTCCGGTTTATCTTACCCAGAACGGCGGTGGGCTCATAACGAATAGGAGTGTTCGCCTCATCGGGTATGGCCTCGCAGGCACCTATGGTCTGCTTAACATAGTACATACCGATCGGGCAAGCATCCTTCAGAAACAGCTTAGTATGGGGGTACCGCTCGAATAACTTGACCCGGTACCGGTCAAGAATGGTCAAACCTTCAGCGGTAGGTAAGGGTGTAGATACGCGAAGTAGCCCGTTCGAGGGCCGTACGAGCATTGGCGGCCTGCTCATTCAGCTCCTGGAGAGCAAGGTCCCGAGCGGAGGGATCTTCCTTGCCAAAGCCCATGGCTAGAATGGACTCGCCTGCAAGCATCCTTCAGAAACAGCTTAGTATGGGGGTACCGCTCGAATAACTTGACCCGGTACCGGTCAAGAATGGTCAAACCTTCAGCGGTAGGTAAGGGTGTAGATACGCGAAGTAGCCCGTTCGAGGGCCGTACGAGCATTGGCGGCCTGCTCATTCAGCTCCTGGAGAGCAAGGTCCCGAGCGGAGGGATCTTCCTTGCCAAAGCCCATGGCTAGAATGGAACTCGCCTGCAAAGAAAGAATGGGTGTTAGTGTAAACCCACGTCAATTGGACAAATTGACGAATGACCGAAGAGTCGCATACCTGCGCCAAACACAGAGCCAACTTAGCTCGCTGAGAGGAATGGGGAAGGGACTGAAGGAAAGCTGCGTCCCCAGGGGCCTGAGCCTTGGACAGTTGGTGGAGCACGAGGTCTGCCGAACACTCGAGGTCCGAGGAGGTGAATAAGCTGGGCAACTCTAGGCGAGCCCTTTTCGGGGGGGGAGTAGAACCACTCAGAGCGAGACGCTTGGAGCTTGTCTCGGCGGACTCTCCTTGAGCCTCCTCAAGTCCGGGATCTCCACTCGGAAGTATAGCTAGGTCCCGGACCTCGGTCTCGCTATCTAGAAGCTCGATGATAGCCTCAGGACCGAGAAGAGGTAGGCCAGAAGAGGGAGACAGAGGGTGCAAGGGAGAATTTGAGCTATGTGAAGGGAGCTCGGGCCCACGGGAGGAAACCTCGGGTGCGACCTCAGCTGCAGCCGTCGGGCTCGAAGCCCCTGCATCTTTCTTCTCTGCCTCGGCCAGCTCCAAAAGCATATCGATCATCATCTCAGCTGAAAAAGCACACCAACAAAAAAAAAAAAAAAAAAACAAAAACAAACACACACACAACCGCCGAGCGACATCTGAAGCCCGGACGGGAAAAAAGAAAAGAGTAGGTATACCCCAAGGGCGACGATCAAATGAAGGGATCTGCCACAAGCCGGCACGGGAAAAGAGGGGAAGACTGCTAATAATTTTCTCAACGTTCCAAGCGCGGGGGCGAACGCGAGCCAATAGGCCAGTGATCTCATCCTCGACGTTCATGCTGAGGGTAGTGCGCTTGGGAGATTTAGGAGGGGGAGAGGAGTCAAAAGGCCAAGCTCAAAAACTTGTTGGTCGAAAACCTACACGCAAGTGCATGTATCGTACAAGTAATATAGTGGACAATTAAGTCCGGATATCGAACCCACAGGGAATATTTAATTATCTAATCCTAGACGCTAAATTCTACCAATTATTATCAAGCCCACCCTACACAGTCGACTTTGGAGAGAATTAACTAAATTCAACTAAATTAAAAAGCAAGTAGAAACAAGAAAGCAAATAAAACGAAGATTTAATCAAGATAAGCGAGCCTAGGATTTTATTCTCCCCCCTATGTGATTATTACTCCCCCAATTCCTTCAATTATGCAAGCAATTAACCCGGATTATTAACCTGAGATGCTAAAATAATCATAACCCGCTTCCGCGTGTATTACGATTCTAATACTCTAGATTCAATTACTATATTCCTATGCAATTAATTCTAGAACACAGCATTAAGCACAAATCTCAATAATGGCTACCTAAGAGATTAACTATATTCCTATGTTAATACCACAAAGGCTCTTCTACCACAGTTCTAATTATTAACCTGATCTTCCGATTCATGCGATTAACAATAACATAAAAGCACATAAAGTGGCCAGTTTCATGAACTTAATAAAACAAGTAGAAGAAATAATCCGGAATTAAAACTTGCATAAAATCATAGAATTGGGTTCATAAATCCCACATAGGGTTCCAAATAAAATCCTAGAAATAAAGACTTAGCTACTCGTGATTCTTATGATAAAGAAAATAAAATAAATAAATTAAATAAGAAAAACTATGCTTGAGTCTTCGTTGATCTTCGTTCCTCGCGTTTTGTGGTGTCAAATTTCGTGCTTATGGTGTAGGGACTTGTTGCTTTTATAGGCTTTTCTTGATAAGGAAGTAGTAGAAACCTAATAGGAATCTATTTCCGCCACTTTCCTCCACCAGGATTTGTTCTTCGATTTTCGCCATGTTGGAGTCCGAATTTCGGAATGTTGCGTAAATAAGAGTTGTAGCCCTTGAAATTAGCTTTCCAATACCGCCAAAATCAGCTGATTTGGAGTTTGTATGAGAGAGATATGCTCGAAATGATGGACACTGCCAAAGCTGTGGCGGGATTCCTTCTTCCAATTCGATTTATTTCCTTATTTGCAACTTTTTCCTTTCTTTTTGATCTTTTTTCCTTCATGGACACCTAATTCTCTTTTTCACCTATAAAACACAAAATCAATCAATTAAAAGCACAAATATAATTAAATCTAAACAAAAGATCCACGTAAAGTAAACGTATTGAGCGTAAAATTTACACTCAACACACCCCCAAACTTGAACTTTTGCTTGTCCTCAAGCAAAATCTAATCGTAAGCAAATAACTCAACTACCGCATCTTATCACATAGATTAATGACCAACTTCACGTTTTCAGAACTTGTAATTATAATGAAAATTCTTAGGCATTCGCAAGCTCAAAATTCAAAAGCACTTAGTCACTTATCATAGCCAAAAACCACAAATCATGCAATTGCTTCAAGCATCCAATATTTGTAAATTATTGAGGAGAAGAAGAGGAAGGAGCTGCCTTTTTCTTCAGGCTCGGACGCCGTCCGCCCCGGCGAGTAGACCACACGGGAGCAGGGACGGGGTCAGTCCTTCCCGAAGAAGAAGTAGAAGTGCCTTGGGAAACGATTGGCGAAGGCGAAGAAAGCGGGAAAACAAATAACAGAGAATAAAGGGAAAACAGAAAGTACCTGGGGAATAGAGGGCACACTAGCAATAAGGGAATGTTAGGAAAATAAAGAAGGTATGAGGAATGAGAGAAATAGCAGGAAAGGGGGGCTTTAAATCTAGAATGCGGGCCCAACGACAATCGAAAAGACACCCGTCATTAAGGGGCACAAGAAACGAAGAGCCCCCGCAGGAATTGACGGCTGCATAGGGAAGCGCGCCAGACAGGAAAACGAAACGACCAGATGGGGCAGATGAAAGGACGTGCGGCGGGCGCGAGGAGGCGAAGAACTCCGAGCCCTAAAAATATAGGCTCGGGCGGAGATATAGGACTCGAAGTGGGGGACTAGTTGCCAGCCCACTAAAATGGTCCAGGAATCGCCTAGCCGGCCCATATAGAAAGGAGAGGCCCAAGGAGGAACGTAGAGCCCAAGAAAGAGGGAGAGATTGGGCCAGCACGAGGACTCGCCGGGTAAGAGTTATCCATAGTTCCCGACCATGGAGAGGGAGGTCGGGAAAAAGAGGAATTAATTGCCCTGACAAGCTTGGCCAGGCGCCCATTAAATGCTCTTGTCAGAGCATTTAATGAGCGAATGACTATGTGCGGCCGGGGAGTACATGAGACAGGCCTGCGAGTATCATAACCCCTAGAAAATAGGATGTCATCATGGTCCGGGCCGACTGGCCGAAAGGTGAATATCCCACCAAAGTAGGCCTTTGCACCAGAGCCCGAGGGGGCGGAGAGCCTTCCCGCCAAACATTATAAAAGCCCCAGGAATCCAAGCAGAAAAAGGCGGTTTTTTCTGGGTATCCTAAGTTCTAACGAAAAATATACATATCCATAC